GACCACTTTGCTGAAACTACTTTATTGAAACTGCAAAGATATTTCTTATTCCAAAACCAAACTTTGCTGTTATAGCAAAATTAAAATTTTATAAAAATATTTCTGCTTCTCCGAAATAGAACTTTTCTAAGATAGATAGATACTTTACTGTTGCAGCAAAAAAAAAATCCTGTAATTTTTGTTATTGTTACAGTAATGTTTTTTGCTACCCTAGCCAAATGACTTAACTAAAAATACCGTTCGGACATTTCCGTGATTTCTTCGGGTCCAAAAATAACCGATAAAATAGGGTTCGTGTTCATTTTCTTCCATTTTATTTAGTTTAGTAGCTAACGCCGTACGGTGTGGATCGTGGATGCTGTCGAGTCAAGTCGAGTGTCGGTCGCTGGGAATCTTTTTGGAAATGGTGCCAGCGCATCCATCAAAACTAGCAGAAACAATCTCTACACTGAGAAAATTTTTTCATTGTCATAGCTAATTTTTCTGCTGCCGTAGCCAAAAATTTTGGCTACATAGGGGACAGCCAAGATCTTTACTACCGCCGAAAAGATAACTTTACTGTGACTTTATAAAGAATTTACTCACAGTTACTACAAGGTCACTTTGCTGGCATAGAAAAGCTACTTTGCTGTCGTAGGAAAGTAACTATGCTGTCCTAGAAAAGAGGTTATATACCCTCAAAAACATCCTTTTTTGCTATTGAAAAGTAGATTGCTAAGACAGAAAAGATATTTGTTGTTGTTATTAGAAATGCTTTCTGAAATAGGAAAGCGTTTGTCTCAGAACAAAAATTTTTTTGCCAGAATCAGCCAAGTGTTTTATTAGCCATGGGAAGTTATTTGTCTCACCAATAGCAAAAATATTTTGCTGGAAATCTTTGGAAATATGTAGTAGCGCGTCCATCATAACAAAACCAGGAGATAAACAAACTCTATTTAAACCCCTAAACTTTCATTACCTGATCTGAAATAATGCCAATTAATGAAAAGTTTGGCGCTAGAGTTGTTTCTGCTAGTTTTGATGGATGCGCTGGCACCATTTCGAAAAAGATTCCCAGCGACGACACTCGACTTGACCCGACAGCATCCACGATCCACACCGTACGGCGTTAGCTACTAAACTAAAATGGAAGGAAATGAACACGAAACATATTTTATCGGTTATTTTTGGACCCGAAGAAATCACGGAAATGTCCGAACGGTATTTTTAGTTAAGTTATTTGGCTAGGGTAGCAAAAAACATTACTGTAACAATAACAAAAATTACAGGAATTTTTTTTTGCTGCAACAGTAAAGTATCTATCTATCTTAGAAAAGTTCTATTTCGGAGAAGCAGAAATATTTTCATAAAATTTTAATTTTGCTATAACAGCAAAGTTTGGTTTCGGAATAAGAAATATCTTTGCAGTTTCAATAAAGTAGTTTCAGCATAGTGGTCTTTTCTGTAGAAGCAAAATAACATTGCTACCTCTAAAACATTTTCCACTGTAGCAGCTAAAAAAAAACCAGCAAAGAAGTTTCTCCTGGGACTTTTCTCAGTGTAGCGCCAAAATTTTCATTAATTGACATTATTTCAGATCAGGTAATGAAAGTTTAGGGGTTTAAATATAGTTTGTTTATCTCCTGGTTTTGTTATGATGGACGCGCTACTACATATTTCCAAAGATTTCCAGCAAAATATTTTTGCTATTGGTGAGACAAATAACTTCCCATGGCTAATAAAACACTTGGCTGATTCTGGCAAGAAATTTTTTGTTCTGAAACAAACGCTTTCCTATTTCAGGAAGCATTTCTAATAACAACAACAAATATCTTTTTTGTCTTAGCAATCTACTTTTCAATAGCAAAAAAGGATGTTTTTGAGGGTATATAACCTCTTTTCTAGGACAGCATAGTTACTTTCCTACGACAGCAAAGTAGCTTTTCTATGCCAGCAAAGTGACCTTGTAGAAACTGTGAGTAAATTCTTTATAAAGTCACTTTGCTACCGCAAATAAACGGTGCCAGTAAAGTTATCTTTTCGGCGGTAGTAAAGATCTTGGCTGTCCCCTATGTAGCCAAAATTTTTGGCTACGGCAGCAGAAAAATTAGCTATGACAATGAAAAAATTTTCTCAGTGTATTATTTCATAGAAATTGACATAATAATTTTATCCATGCAACATAAGAAATTGATTTGTAATTTTAAAAAAATATCTAATAATAAAAGCTCAATAGAAAACGAGATAAAAATTATAAACTTCATAACAGACCATGCACTTTCTTTGTACAAGGTTGTTCCATATACATTAAGACAGCATATAGCTCGCTTATGAAGCAAGATAGAAAAAAAAATGTCAATATAAAGTAAATAGGGATTTACATGAACCAGTAGAAAATATAACTTTTATATAATATACAGCCTATATACAGGGTGCACGCAAATGATGTGGCAGACACATAATGTAATTTTTTGAATGAAACACCCTGTATATTTTTCAATAATCGAATAAACATTCTTTTCCTGATTTCAAAAAAAAAAAGAGTCACGGTAAGGATAAATCTTTATTGTGCATGACCTGGAGTGAAGAACGGAAAATTTGTTTGAATTTGAATGAGGAAATGAGCTGAAAGTGTTCTTCCAAGTTATTTCTTAATAGAAATGGTACATGTGTTACATGTGTATCTACATTAACTAAGAGTAGATAAGCATTGTTTTAGCGTACGGAGATGCCAGAGATTGGATCGGATGAAGGCTATCTACTGGTCGATGGCCTCCGCGGTTTCCAGATCTGAATCCCCTAGATTTCCTCCTTTTACCTGCCAATGCCTGCTGTGTCTTTCTCGATTCCATCATTCCAGCAATAAGGTTTTTGTGTTCTTTTATTTTTTTCGTATTTGCCCAAGGCTTCAAGCGCTGTGAATACTTAACTTCTTTGATATTCTGGTATCCACTGTTTAATTTTTGGTTTATTCTTTTCATGTATAGCAACACCTGTACGCTTTGTTCTTGGGATTTAGGGTTGTATATTTCCTAGACTCAGTCTTGTCTTCTTGTTTTTCCTTTCCGTTGTTCCTTATTGTGATGTTTATCCCCAGGCCAGGGATAAAGATTGATAGGTAGTGGCCACTGAAACAGGTCGCTCTTATTCTGCTCTGACATTCTCACATCCTGGAATTTTATGTTTCATGACTAATTTTGCAAAAGTGTAGTCAATAATCGATTTTTGTAGTGTAGTTTCATTTTTCCAGGTGTATTTATACACAGTGTGTAAAAAGTCCCGGAACAGTCAATTATTTTGAAAATAGTGCACAATATAAAAAAACTTCCTGTATAAAAGTTGAAGGTCTTGATAAAATCTATTGAAATAGGACTTATGTAATTATACAGGGTGGCCCAAAAAGTTGTACTACACAAAACTTCATTTTTTTTAAATGGAATGATCCTTTTTTAATTACATTTTCTAATTCTTCTAGAGATTCTAAACAACAATTATGAAAGATATCATATGGCTAAACCCATTAGTTTCAGAAATAATTTGACTTGAAGGACATAAATACGATAAGTACGATATTACCTACATTTTGCATTGTTTCGAGTTGGTTCAAAATGGTAACCAGACCTAACGCCCCTTGATTATTTTCTTTGGGGACATCTGAAAAATAAAGTGTTTGTGACAAAACCTCCAGATCTGAACGAATTGAGAAGAAGAATTATTGAAGAATGTGCATCTATTAACTAAGAAATATTACAAGACGTCATCAATAAATTTTATTATAACCTAGCCTATTGTCAAATTGTGGGAGGAGGACATTTTCAGCATTTAATAAAATAACGTCTTACACTTAATTTTATTTCTGTTCTTTCAAAGTTATTGTTGATTTTACTTTACTGCTTGTATTTAATAATTTAGTTATTAATAAAATTTTGACTAAACTTGAGTGAGGTACATTTCATTTAACACAAGTTAAATGTTTTTTTTTTTCAGGATTTAACGTGAAACATTTTGAAGCAACTCGAAACAATGCAAAATGTAGGTAATATCGTACTTATCGTATTTATGTCCTTCAACTCAAATTATTTCTGAAACTAATGGGTTTAGCCATATGACATGTTTCATAATTGTTGTTAAGAATCTCTAGAGGAATTAGAAAATGTTATTAAAAAAGGATCATTTCATTGAAAAAAATGAAGTTTTGTGTAGCACAGCTTTTTGGGCCACCCTGTATAATTACAAAAGTCCGATTTCAATAGATTTTATTAAGACCTTCAACTTTTATACAGGAAGTTTTTTTATATTGTGCACCAGTTTCGAAATAATTGACTGTTCCGGGACTTTTTACACACTGTGTATGTATTTCTTCACGTTAGATTGTTTTCAAAATTTTTCACTATACCTTGTAGTTGCCTTTTCTTCCTGAACAGGATGAATAAACTTTTATAGATATTATATTTTTTTAATCAAAGCCAAGATTGACAACTTCCGTTCTTTTCTTTCAAGATACATGCTAGACATTTTAGAGGCACGCGAATGAAAACTAGTCCAAAAGTGTAATAAACAAACTGCCAGCCAGTGACAAAATGAAAGAAATTGTATTACCGAACATAGAATCTAATTAGAAATTAGATTCATTTTTTAGTTTCTAGTCAGTAATCGCTCAATAATTCAAATCACAAATAAGGATTTTGGTATCAATTTTTGTAGTAGATCAAGGTAAATACCTACATATTGTTGATTTCACGGAGTCCAATATGTCGATTTCCATAGATTGTCTTGTTTTGCACTACTCCTAATTCACAAGATTTTTTCTTCCAGGTTCGAGAGGTTCCAAAATGAAACAAAGATTTCATCGCAAAACAGAAAATATGCAGTGCTTTGATAGAATTTCTGATCGAAGAAAAATCTAATGCCATGCCAGATTAATTTATTAAAAAAAAATGTATTTCAAGACAAGTTATAAATTTGTCATAATTTTAAGCTTTTTAAGTATTTCAAAATGTAATAGACCACCGAGATTTTTAATGGACGGCCAAACGGAAATCGTCCTAAGGTTGAAAGAAGGCGAAGAAACTCCAAAAGGTATGCCAACTATTTAGTTACCGATTATTTATTTGTGTCTATTTAATGAATTTCTGAAAACGAAAATATTTCAGGTACACTTCTCTATACGCTTAAGGGCTTCGATGCAGATGGAGATAAACTTCAGTTTGGAATTAGAACTTCTTCCGACAGCGATATTATTATCGTTGAAACTATATCGAGTACAGAAGCCAATATTTATCTTAACAAGTTGCTTGATAGAGAGGTGAGTAAAATTAACTTCTTTACCTGGACCCCTACCTATACTACTGCTGGATCTTGATCAAAGTATACATAGCTAAAAGAAATTGTCTGAGATTGAAAGTGACCTGAGGCAAAATATGGTTTAGTAGAATGTTCAAAACTCTTAAGTGAATAAGGTTTTTGAAATAACCAGAGCACTAGAAAATCTTTGAAAATCTGATGCATATTTTGCTAAAAATATTTCGAATCAAACTAAACTTTATATTCTTTACAGGAAAAAGACGAATATGCCTTAGTACTTTCCCTTACAGATGGACACCTGGGAAAAGGAAACTTTGTCACTCAGAGTTTACTAATTTTAGTTGAAGATGTTAACGATAACAGCCCAGTTTTTAAAAATCACCAAAATTCTATTTTACTTAGAGAAGATGCCCCTCTAGGCACAATAGCACATCTAGAAGCTACAGATGCCGATGAAGGACCATTTGGTCAGGTGGTTTACCATGCAGCCGCAGATGTAGAGAAAAATTTGTTCAGTGTTAGTACGGTTGGTGAAAAGGCTGTTATCAGGCTTATAGGTAACTTTATACATGTAGAACTTTAATATATACATCCTAATTGAATTATTTCTCCAGGAAGTCTAGACTACGAAAAACAAACCGTTCACCAAGTGAAAGTTTTAGCTGTGGATCGAGCAAAAGAAGGAAGAGTAAATACTGGCACAGCAATAGTATTAGTAAGGGTTCTGGATGTTGAAGATAGGCCACCAGAATTTATTCGCGTTACTCCGATAGCAAGGATAACAGAGAATAGTCCTGTAGGAACAACTGTTTTACAAGGTAAGGTTCATCTTAATACAGTTTCATTTGAATCCTTGAAAATTGCAGTTGCACAACGATTTTCTTTGCTGTTTCAGTTATGGCAGTTGATGGGGACAGAGGAATCAATAATAAAATCCAATATGCGCTGGTGACTAGTAATGATAATCAAACGTTGGCGTTGGACCCTTTTAAAATGGAGGCCGATACAGGAAAAATCGTTACTGCATCGGTCATAAATCGTGAGGCTTTACCATTTGGCTCTAGTTCTTACATTATACAAATCAAGGTGAGCACATTGTAGAGAGGCAATAGTTTTATTTAAATTTTGTCTCTCCTAATGTATGTTGAGAGAGATGAGATGAGCAGTATTTGGACAGAGATTTAAAATTTTTATTATGGGTTTTATAGGCAACGGAACTTGGAAGTTATCAAGTTCCAGTCCCATTCACAACAACTGAAGTTACAGTTATAATTTCGGATATTAACGATGAAACTCCAACATTTAAACGTAAACTATACGAATGTCAAGTCGCTGAAAATGCACCTAATAATACACCACTCACTTTTATTGGGAACGCTGTTCCAGAAGTCTTTGACTACGATCAGGTAAAATCTACGTTACATATAGATTTCTATACTAGAAATTTTCTCTATTCCAGGGAATAAATGGCACGTTTCTAATGTATGTTAAAAGTAAAAGCGAAATATTTGAAATAACTCCTAAAAAAGCAACCAATGAAGCCACTTTTTCTATAAAAGTTAAAAATAATACGCAACTCGATTATGAAAAAATTAAAATGATAAATTTTACAATTGTTGCTAAGGAAGTAAGTAAATTTTATGTTTCTGCAGAAATACTAATATGCGTATATTATACTCATATATTACTTTTTTATAGATAGTTAAAAATAATCCAAAATTTAGTGAGGTCCCAGTTGTTGTTCATATTCTAGACCGAAACGATAATTATCCAGAATTCACTAAAAAATCCTACGAGGTTTGGGTACCAGAAAATTGTGAAGTAGGAACTACAGTGGCTTGGATTCAGGCACTGGACGAAGATTCTGGAAACTATGGAACACAAGGTGTAAGGTACACTAATATTGCTGGAAGTATTGCTGGTCTGTAAGTGAGCTTTATTTTAAAAAACTGGTCGAGTTCTGAAGCGAGCATCTTTCCAGATTGAATATTGATCCAATCTCGGGGATATTAACAGTAAAAACTGCCGGTGGGCCTTCATGGGATAGAGAGCAAGCACCTAGACATTACCTTAGTATAGAAGCAAGAGATGATATGGGAAATGGTAACCGAAATTCAGTCCAATTAACTATCAATCTAGAAGATGTTAACGATAACAGTCCACTTTTTATTCAAAACAAATATGAAGCACGATTGATGGAAAATCAATTAAGTTTTGAAAAATTTCTTAGAGTTGAAGCTAGAGATGCAGATTTGAATGGTAAGTATTCAATATTGTGTTCGCAATATTAAACATGAATTTCTACTATTCTTATTTTCAAGGCACTCAAAATAGTGAGGTAGAATATTCATTAGTTGGAGAACTACATGAAAATTTTACAATAGATCGTACTACTGGTGAAATATATCCAAAATATCCGATAGATTTTGAGTCTATTGAAGGACCTGAAGAAGAAAACGTAAGGATTTTGTACTTGACCTTAAGGGCGCGGGATAAAGGTAGCCCAAGCTTATATAGGTAAATAAAGTCAGTAATTTCTTTTTGATGGAATAAAATATTAAAGCTATCCTGATATTTTTGAGAAATATTATTTTTAATGTGGATTTTAAAATAAAAATAAAACATAATTTGTAGTGAGGTACCATTGCTTGTTTTTGTTGAAGATATAAACGATTTTTCACCCGTTTTTGAATACCTGTTTTACAACACAAGCGTTTTTGAAGACACTAGAGAAGAAACAAGTATAATGCAGGTGGGTGTAAACCTTCATAAAAAGTGTATTCAAAAATATATATAGGTTCCATAAAATAATTAAACAAATTTATTACAGGTAAAAGCTTTTGATTTTGACGGCTCTTCCCCTAATAATCACATAGTTTATAGAATTCAACAGGGTGCATTTGATAAATTCGTCATTGACTCAGAGACTGGTAGGTATAATAATTCACGGTACTTGCATCAATTTTTTTTATTGCTGATTTCGTTAGTCGATGAAAAATAAGTTAACACGTGTTTTTCTTTTTCCTCTTAGTTAAAAATTGACAGAGATACAACGCTATGAAATATGCCTATGACGTCACTTATCATATAACTTTAGCTCAGTATATCTATATATACAAAAGTTAATATTTGTATAACTTCCGGAATAATCGACTTATATTTTCCGTTCAGTAAATCTTGTTTTTAAAAACTATTTATTTCATTAAAAACTAAGAAGTTACAACAAGAAATACTAGACTCTAATTGCTGCGGCAAAAGCTGATAACAAAAGAAACTTGATTCTAATTGCTTAATCTAAGCTAATAACAAGAGAAGCTAAAAGGCTCCGCGCGCCGTATTTATATTAAAATACTGCTGACGCTTGCAACGGAGTGGGTGAAACCTTGATATGATGGTACTTTTCCAGGCAGTATCCCTTACTCAGCATCTTTATAATATCGTGGGCTTTTACAGTGGCGTAGGCTTATGTTTAACACTGAAAAAGGGAATTATTTGTATAATAATAACATAGGGTTTTATAATATAACTCCTTTTTCCTTAAGTGGTTGCAAATTGGGATTGACCAACAATGTTGGGCAATTCAATCTGCACCTGAGTTTTAGTTTTACTACATTTTCCTTTAAAATATAGAATAAGAATGATTATTATAAAAATAGAACTTAATACTATGATTATAATATAGGTTGACAGTGACACATTATTGGTTTCAAAATTTAACTCTTGTAATGGGCCAGTCTTTAATTTGTTTGCTTCATGGTCGACTGCTTTTAGTCTTACAGTTGTGGTATTCTCTAGAAGTTCAGGAATGTCGATGATGTCAAGTTTTAGGTTGAAGTTCTCATGCGTGTCTTCCAAAAGTGTTCGATTGTTAATTGTTATTGAACATTTACCTTTGGAAATTACGATTGGACTGGAAATGATTTCCATGTATTTCTTCTGGTCACATTACAGCATTACTGTCACATGTCGTTTTGGAATAACCAATACTTGATTATTGGTTATTTCTTCAACTGTCGATTCTTCGTATTGAATTTTCGTGAATAAGCATAACTGTTGTTCACTGGATACAATATATTGTTTCAATAATTCCATTTTGCACAAATAAATGTCTTCAATATTTGGACATTTTTGTAGAGCATTGTAATACGTGTCTGTAGTAAGTAATAGGTAAGGATACTTAACACTAATTGTATAATTTTGGATAGGTAGGTACCTACAGGATTAATTATTGGTGTAAATATAGTAAATATAATTAGTTCCATTTGAATTATTACATGAGAGGACATTGTCTCGTAGTATTTAATTACTAAGACGGTCGAAATTTGATCCAAAATTTTCTCAGCAGTATTTGATTACGTTATCAAACGGTATTTGTTGACTCGTGGGTATGTTTTTCAAGATCAAGTTCAATTCATTATGCTGCAGTATTATACTATAGGCCATTATTAGGGATGTCAATTTTTATTAAAACACCGGTTTTTCCATTAACCGGTTAATTTAGTGACAGCTTTAACTGCCCAGTTATAACTGATATAAAACACCGGTTATTCCGATTAACTGGTTGTTCGGTTATTTTTCCGAATTTTATCAGAATAATTACATTACTTATACTATAATGTAATAGTTATGATATAAGTGTTAAAAGTACATTTTTAAGGCACGCATGTGAAAGTTTGCAGAATGAGCGAAGCGAATTCTGCAATTCACATAAGTGCCTCAAAAATACTTTTAACACAAATATCATACAATATTTTTTCTACAAACGGCAATAAAAAGCAATAACCACTAACAAATTGGATTTTCAAATGAATAATAAATTGGAAGCATCTTTCCTATATAAAATTCTTGAATTTGACATTTGTCAAAAAATCCAGACAACCGTGCAGCACCTTGTTTTACAGGTAACGAAATGTCTTGTCAGTTTCTTGAAAGTCTGTCGTGGTCAGGAATGCTTTTTGCTAAAAATGCAACAAAATACAGAAGAAAAAGAGGGTTGCATCGATCCTTCGAAAAATATAGATGAGGCGGCCAATCGGGCTACCTCAGTTGTTCAAATTTCACCATTAATATCAATGTAAATAACTGAAAATACAAACTTTTTTTGACGTCCACTCTCAAAATTTGATGTTTCACTTTTAACACTACTGCTATAAAGACTTTATGGCACTAGTGCGATAAAGTAACATTTTTAATGCTTCGGGGCGGTGTTAAAAATTGCATTTTTAACACGTTTGTAGAAAAAATTAGTTAAACAACAACATATCTTTATTGACAAGAGAAAAGTCTACATGTTTCACTTTCACCGGTTATTAGGTATGAAACCCGGTTATCCGGTTATAACTGGAAGCAAAAAACAACTGGTTTTAACCGGTTAACCGAAAAGAAAACACCGGTTTTTCGGTTTTAACCACCGGTTATTGACATTCCTAGCCATTATGCTTGTGTGTGCAAAACTAATTGCTTTTTGCATGTGGTTGATTAACTCGCGTAGTTTACTACTGTGCATATCAATATTCTCTAACATGAGATTCCTCATTAAGATAGTTTGAATATTTTGATTATCCGTCGAAATATTTCTTATCTTATCTGAAATTAATATCTGATTATTTTCGATATTTGAAAGTTGATCATGAAATGTTTCCGTAACTTGTTTAAGTACGTTTGTTTGATCTTTTAAATTTTTATCAATAGTTTTCTTCTCATTTAACGTTTGGATATAAGAATCATATCTGTCACTGTCATTTGCGTCTAATGTTCGATACAGCCATTTTTGTGCTGTACCTATGAAATTGAATACCCCACGTTTATTTCGATCATATAAGAATTATTTTACAAATTTCCTCAATGTATTGATACGTGATTGACTATTTTCATTATTCATTTGTAATAAAGTAAAAATTTCGTCTTTATTCGAGTCTTTATTAGACCATTTGGTTAGATTTAAATTATTATTTGAATTCTTTAAAGTTATTTCGAGAGTTTTGATATTAATTTGTGAATTACATTATTTCTAGAGTTTCTAATGATTCGGCAAGATTATTGATATAATCTGTGGTTATCTTATTTTGTGAATTTTCAATAGGTATTAAATAATTTAAATCGAATTTAATTATTTGGAAAGGTGTATAACCTGTAACACTATATATGCTGTTATTATAATTCAGGATTGCAATTACCATTAGGTCATTATTGTTTTTATTAGGGCTTTGTAATTTCAAGCTGGTTAAACTTTCTCTTAAAATAGAATGTAATCTCTCAATAGGACTATTCGAATTAGGATTTCGAGGAGTCGTATAATGGAATTCGATTTTATGTAAGGTACATAAATCTGTTACAATTGCATTTTTAAATACAGTTCCGTTATCAGAGGTAATTCTTTGTGGAATTCCGTGATCACTGAAATATCTTATTAGTTGTGATGCAATCTCAACTGAGGTTTTGCTAATAATTGGAATAGGTTGTGCAAACTGTTAGGAATTTTCGATTCGAAACAAGGTATTTATCAATATAAAGGTGTTCAAAGGGATTTGAACCGATTGGAGTTGGTTTGAATATTATTTTGTAGGGTTGCCTTTTATATTTTGTCTTATTACATATTTCACATGTTTTGACATATGCTTGTACGTCTTTTCCTAGATTAGGCCAATAATATCGTTTCTTTAAAGATGAAACATTTTCTGTAACTTTGCGATGAGATGTTTTAGTCTCATGGTATAGTTTAATTTTCTCTTGCTGTTCGTCAGTTTCAGTTATGTCTTCGACAAAAGAATTGGAAATACATAACTTGAACGAATTCGAATTGGATGATGTGTTTGAAACTCTTAGTATAATAGGTTCCAACGTTTTGTTGTGAAAATACATACAATACGTATTTGGTGGAAGATATTCGCCATTTTTTTATGCCCGAAGTATCTAACAATCTAACTTTTTAGGTAAAATTCAGACAGGGGATGACCACAGACTACATGATGATCGAATAATGTTATTTTCTAACATTTTCTGGATTTGTTTATTCACTTCTTGTTTAGGAATATGTGGATATCCATACGTCTTTATGTGAACTGGAATTTCGTCTTTGGTCCTAATTTCGTGTTTAACCTGATTTGTGAATGATAATTTATCATTTGGTTTGTGAAAGACTATAGGAAACGAATTTACAAGTTTTTGTAAAGCTTTAACTTCTTCTGTGTTTAAATGATCAATTCTTAAAAGGTTTAAGGACGTTTTTTTTATAGGATTTCTCTTTAAAATTGAATATCATCAATATGACAATCTAATGTGAGGATTTTGTCTTTTAAATTATACATATACATCAAGTGGTAAGCTAATAACAAGAGAATGATCTGAAAGGCTCCACGCGCCGTAATTATATTAAAATACTGCTGACGCTTGCAACTGAGCGGGTGAAACCTTGATATGACGGTACTTTTCCAGGCAGTATCCCTTACTCAGCATCTTTATAATATCGTGGGCTTTTACAGTGGCGTACGCTTATGTTTTACATTAAAAAGGGGAATTATTTGCATAATAATAACATAATAATAATATAACCATCGTACTAGGACAAAAAAAAAAAACACGCATGGATTTTTTTTTTCATCTACAGTCTGCAATAAATAATAATCAATTTAATTTTTCATGCATCAAGTACGCTATTATTTTTTAATCTTAAATTTGATAATAATTGAATATATCCACTGTTCAGCACTGCGGAAATAATTAAGTTAGGTGAATGTAGTTTTTGCACATTTTAGGTGTCATATCCATATCACATGGTGCCAAGTTGGATCCGGATTTGATACATCCAAGAAAAAATGTTTACAATTTAAAGGTGATGGCATTAGATGGTGGCCAAGGAGAAAACCAACTCCAGGCAGCCGTGACCGTTGAAATTACAATATTGGACGTAAATAATAAAAATCCCAAATTTTTGGAAACACCAGAAATTAGGCTATTAGAAAATACATTGGTAATGCTCTATTATTGTCAAAGTCTTGGCTAAATGGGTCAATTCAAATAATATTCACAAATGACTTCTTTCTTTCAAGATTGGCACCACTATTACCACCGTAAGGGCAGTTGATTTAGACGAAAATGCAAATTTAACGTACCTCCTGAACAAACTCAGCTGCCAAGCTATCAATGAGAATGGAATAGTGCTCAAACAAGCCGCAGATTGCCTCAAGTATTTTTCTTTGGACTTTTTTACAGGACACTTAAAAATTGGCCAACTAATTGATCGAGAAGAAATTGAGCAGTTTGTTGTTAGTGTAATCGTTCGGGATTTGAATTCTCAAACCGGTAATCAAGAAGATATAAGTGAGTACAATGCATATATAAATAAGTACATAAAAACAAAAATAATTAAATTTTTAGCACAAATAAGAATAAAGATAGAAGATGTTAATGATAACAGTCCACGATTTAAAAGATCCCATTACAAATTTGCTGTGATGGAGAACAGCAAAAACGATGTTTTTATAGGAACAATAAAAGCTGAAGATCCGGATAAAAATAAAACCGTCATTTACCAACTTGTTTATAATGAAAACTATAATAATTTAGTACATCTTGATGAAATATCCGGAGATATATTAGTAGCTAATAAAATTGATCGAGAAGTTCACGAATGGATAAACATTACAGTTAGTTACTACTCTAAATTTAATTATGAGCAATTAATTACATAAAAAATTTTAAGGTCAAAGCTCTAGATTCCGGAATTCCTCCAAGATTCGCCAAAGTGGATGTGGCTTTGCAAATTCTGGACGAAAATGATAATAGTCCCATTTTCGCCCATGAACCTACAGCTTTATTAGTTCCAGAAGATATTTCTCCAGGCAGTAAGATTGCCTTGATAAAGGCTACAGATGATGATTCTGGCGAATTTGGTAAAATAACATTTATTCTGGATCAGATTTCATCACAAGGGAAATTCTCCATAGAAGCAGGCACCGGTATTTTGAGAGTTGAGGAAAAACTAGATCGCGAGAAAAAGGATAATTATTTACTTATCGTAGAAGCGTGGGACAATTATCAATATGGATTCAAAAATGGAGAGAGTAGAAATACTTTCAAACAAATAAAGTATGTTCTATAATATTATATTTAAAGATTAGTTGACAAACATGCATCATTACAGTGTAACGCTTCTGGATATAAATGACAATGCCCCAGAGCTGACAATAGAGCGCATGTGTGTCAATATAACTGAATTCCATGAAGTAGGACAGCCTATTACAACTATACGAACTTCAGATAATGATGATCCAAATACATCTAATGGACAGGTGATGATAATGATTTCAGTAAACTTAGAACACACTAAAAACCTACTGTTTCCAGGTAATAATTGACATTGCTGATGGAAATCAAGGTGACCTCTTTGAACTTCAACAAATTAACGATTGGATAGTGCAAATCAAGTCTACAAAGCCTTTGAAAGGAAAACATGGAAAATATACACTGATTATGAGAGCTCAGGACTTAGGAACGCCTAGTTTTGTGACGGAAGAGCCTGTTCATATTTGTGTAATGGATGTTAACGACCATGCTCCTGTGTTTGTTTCGCCGTCACCAAATTCAACTTTAAGAGTTCCAGAGGTAAAAACATTTCCACATCAATTTATATTATCACGCCTTACGTCGCATATTTTTGATTGAATTCAGTTAGGTACTTAGGTAATAAGATTATATTCAGTTTTCTACAACTGTGCGAAATTAAAACTGGAAAATCCACAGGTTGCTGATAGAATGGTAGGTAGAAGATATCGAAACTGGGATATTTTTTCACCTTGCCTGGCTTTACTTCCAAATTCCACTCAGCTGGTAACTCTTTCAGGAAATTCAAGTCCAATGCAAAAGAGTACAAACGAAACTGTCTTAATTTAACCGGGCGCGGCCAAACGAAGGTCTATTTTCTTGAACCACACGAAAGGGGCCGAGTGTTTTTGGCGACTGATTTACTTGTCGGCAATGTAAGGACTTTTCAGATATCCTTTTTCAATGTTTAACGCGCGCATTCTTAAAAGCCAAATTTAGCAAAGCCGTATCAATTTTTAGACATAAAACGCGCAATTATTCAATTAGAATAAGAGAAACAAAAAATAAAGAAGAAAAGAAAAACGAATCAATTTCCGTTCCCAAATAGGATCTGACATCCTTAATACCCAATTTAACCTGCAACTCTATACAGGGCGCGTAGACGAAACTGAACAACAACTTTTTCTAAAGTTCTTCGTTTCGATCTAAGCAGATCTATCGACTTCGTCTCTAGCCCAGAAAGATGCTTAAATGCCATTAAATGTATTATTTAATTCTAAAGAATTGTGGATTAAGTACCTACCTACTTAATGGCATATAGTGGCGGCTTGTCAGAGGAGGCAGGGGAGGCTAAGCCTCCCCCAAAAAATTGAAAATTCAATCTCAATTTTTTAATCCTGATTTCTAATTAAAATAATAATTAACAAATTACACTTTCCAATTTTCGATATTTCAATGTAATTTAGAAAAGTCCGACAACATTATTTTAATCAATCCCGCGCCTCCACGACAAATATCTGTGAATCTGGGATACTCAGTAATACCGGCCCGAAGGGCCGGAGTTATATGCGAGCCCGAAGGGCCGGAGTAATACGAGCCCGAAGGGCCAGAGTTATACGCGAGCCCGAAGAGCTAGAGTTATTTTAATCACGGGGCCAAGTTTATAATTCTTTTGGTCAGCGGATAATTTAGAGCTAATTAAAAACCGGGAGTATTTAAAATGCGATTTTTAGCGTCCGATCAAAGAGTCGGGAATATTCAAAAACTTTAGTTTTATCAAATTGGCTTTGGAATGTTGGTTTTATTAAGATTTTTACTTTTTTCAGAAAACGGTGGTTTTTGCAAACATATACTACTTTATCATTGTCTTTGTTTTACTCACTATAATCAATAAGGAAACCTTGTAATGTCATTTTCATTGAAATTAAACTAAAAACAAGTTTCCTATGATTTATTTGGGGAATTTTAATTATTTTAATCATTATTAATTGATTATTAAATTGAATTTTAAACAAAAAACCCTTTTAAAATGTTATTTTTGTTTTCCGAAATGAGATGTGGCAACGTTGCTTTTAGTTGGCCATTTTGAAGTGACGCCTTGTAATTTTTTGCCAGTTTTTCCTCGAATTTTTCACTTTTCCGGGGCTTTTCAATGGAAAAAAGCAATTTAACATAGGAGACTTTGAGTTTTCTTCACTTTCTAGCAAAAATGTCCAGTTTTAAAATGACATAAATAACAAAATCCCATTTAAAATGGTTTTTTTGAAAGTTTAGCGTTTGTACCAACTTCAAATAAAGTCTGTTTTTTTTTTTAAAGATAATTCCCCAAGTCAAAAATTTAGTAACTATGTTGGCAACACAAGCCTTTTCTACATAAAAAATTTGAAAGCATTGACAATTTTACATTGTATTGCCAACATAATGTCATTTTGACTTTCATCTTAAAAAAAAAACAGACATTAGGTTTTGTAATAAATGTCATTTGCCAGTTTTGACAGTCGGCAATTTTTAATTGACGTGTTCACATTTCTATCCAGTTTTTCCTCGAATTTTCCGCTTTTCTAAGCCGTTTTCAGTCAAAAAAACCGATTTGAAATACGAGGCTTTGAATTTCCTACATTTTGTGCTAAAAATTCCCAGTTTTTCAATGGGGTAAGTGACAAAAACTCAAATTTCATTAAGTAGGCTATGGAATGTCATGTTTAGAGGTTTTTCTTTGAATTTGTCCGCTTTTCCAGGGCTTTTCTGGTCGGAAAAACCGATTTAAAATACGAGGCTTTAAGTTTTCTTCATTTTCCACCAAAAATTTCCTGTGTTTTAACGAGGTAAGTGAGAAAAACTGTAGTTTTATCAAGTAGGTTTTGGAATGTCATTTTCGTTGGTTTTTTTTTTTGGAATTTTTATTTAAGGTTTTTGGGGTCCGGGGATCGTTTTCTATCACTTTTTTCTCGAAATTCGCAAAATAAAAAAAAAACTTTTTTGACGTTGACAGCTGTCAATTTTTTTTTTGACACAAATCGATAGTTAGCGTCGCGAAACTGCCTTGTACCGGGGTTTGATTTTCGTAACTTTTATAGTAGAGCGGGGAAAAAGTCGAACATGTGTCAAATTTGACAGGTGACATTTGTCGATATTACCAAAGTATTGTGCGACAAAAGTTTTATCCGAACGAACTCGTTCATTGTTAACTGATTTTTCATACTCCGGCCCTTCGGGCCGTAATCTTTGAAACAAAAAGACGTCATTTTGTATCGATTGGCAAAAAAACCCAAGGTTTGAAATTTCAATTTTTTGACGTTTGTTGTATCATGAGCAGTGTTGCCATATGTTTTTCTTTCAAATCTCGAGCTCGAAGGGCCGAGATTATAGATTATCAATCAGATCAAGAGCCGGGAATAAACAAAATTCGAATCCCCAAACCAATCAGGAGGCGGGAAAATTAAAAAATTCGAATTCCAAACCCGACGGGAAATTGAATTTTTTGTACCAACTGGGTTGTTTTGGGAAGAACAAAAGACTTTTTTTTTTTGGAGATTGACAGCTGTCAAAATTTTAATGGGCATATAGATTTAGCCTCGGCAAATACGTAGGAAGTACCAATTTTTTTTTTTTTTTTTAACATATGTCAAAAAAGACGTTCGGCGTTGCCAGGCGGTTGGTTTTTGACATATATCGATAAAACTTCTTATTTCAGGGTTTTAGGAGCCTGGGGATCGTTTTCTGACATTTGTTTTTCGAAAAAAAGAAAAGGTAAAATTTTTTGACATTGACGGTTGTCAAAATTAAAAAAAAAACCACATGGGTATATAGATTTAGCCTCGGCGAATACGTAAAAAGTAGCTTAACAGGGCCAATTTTTTGACATTTTTGTATTATAAGCAGTGTTGCCATATGTTTTTCGAATCTTGATTCTGGAAGGCTGAAGTTATTTCAACTATGAGCCCGAAGGTCCGAGGTTATACGAGCCCGAAGGGCCGGAATTATACGAACCCGTTCATTGTCAACTGATTTTAATACTTCGGCTCTTCGGATCGTAATCTTTGAAACAAAAAGACGCCATTTTATATCGACTGTCAAAAAAGGCCTACTTTGATATTTCAATTTTTTGACGTTTGTTGTATCATGAGCAGCGTTGCCATATGTTTTTAACAAATCTCGATTTATAGGTTATTTTAAACCCAATCATTGACATTTCTGAAAAATATTTCCTTTAAAATTCCCAAATATCCTTTGAAATCCCCAAAAATCTATTAAAATCTCAGAATTCCATAATTTAGTGGAATTTCGGTAGAATAATTATGTTATTCTGAAAAAGGAATAAGATGTGAAATTTTTGCGGAGTTTCCATAGAATTCATATTAAATTTTAATTCCTCTCGAATTACTTGAAATTTCAGTGAAATTCCGATTGAATTACACGAAATCCTAAATGAATTACATGGAGTTTCATTGGATTTTCGAGAAATTTTCGGTTATGAACGTGGATATTCTCATAAAATTTTAGTGAATTCCGAGAAATTTTTAAGAAATTACATGAAATGTCAATGAAATTCCAAAGAATTTTATGAATATTTTGTGGAATTCCAGGATATTTCAGTGGTAAAATTTTGAGGAATTTTAGTAAAGTTAAAAAAAAAAAAATGGAATTTTGAAATTGAATTCAGAGGAATTTCATGAAATCCTATACTGTAATTAGCCTCCTCACTTGAAATAGTGACGAGCCGCCACTGATGGCATATAATCTTCGACCATGTAATTTTAATTTCAGAATGCAACTGTTGGAAGTGCATTGGCTCAGATCGTTGCCTTGGATGAAGACATAGGACAAAATAGCGTAATAAAGTTTAGACTTAAAGCTGATCCAGCTGGTCATTGGAAAACTTTCAATTTGCACACAGATTCTGGCATTTTGGAGTTGGCTTTGCCTTTGAATAGAAAAACGCAAAAATTTTACGATGTAGGTTGTTTTTGTATGTATAAATTAGAGTTTTGTATTTTATTCGATATCATTTTTTTTTATAGATTCGTATAGAAGCATTTGACCTAGGAGTTCCAACATCTCTGAGTTCTGATTTGGATTTAACAGTTTATATAAACGATATAAGGGGATATCAACCTCAGTTTTTAGACGACGAATTTACTATAGAATTCACAGGCAAGTGTTGAAACAAACTATAAAGGCATTTTTGATGTTAATGATCTTAAAACTTATAATTTTTCTTTTTATTTTCTTGCTTGATACTTGCAGTTTGTTCAATAAAATCCTCAAAGAGCGTAATATATGTACCTAGGTATTCTAGAATTTTTTTTTTTCTTGAAAAAGTGTCAGTACAAAGTAAAATATTCCATATCAACTCACGGTATCCATAATTTTGATCTGTTGACAGAGGCGGCTCGTGGTATAACATATTGGGGGTGCACATAATTTGTAATTCATAATAAATGCCGGTTGCGTTTGTTTTGCTGGCGCATTTGGCCACTAATTTTTTAAATTAATACTTTACAGGTAGATTGTTAAAATTTGAAGAATGATAAAATTAAATTTAAAGTTGTTTGATATTAATTTGGGAGTGCACGTGCACATGTGCTCTTATGGAGGAACCGCCACTGTCTGTTGATCATCATTATGGGGTAGGTAGCTATAAACAATTTTAAAGAAGTACTTGACTGATAATATGGCAGGTGCAACTTCTGAACAATATTTCCTCTTTTTTCATTCTGACATTTCTTCAAACATTTTAGAAAACCAAAGACCTGGAGCTGAAGCTAAAAGACTTCCAGATACAATTGACAGAGACGAATTAGATTATGAAGGCACGCCATCGCCAATTTGTTACTTTATAGTTGGTGGTAATGAAAATAATTACTTTAGTCTACACCCTATTGACCATACTCTACATGTAAGTAACAGACAAAGGTGCTATTGTTATCTTATTTACCTTCGATGGTGTAAGAATAGAAAGTCTCAATTATAACTTAACTCACAGGTTATCCAGCCATTGGACAGAGAAGAACAAAACATTTATTTATTACTGGTCAAAGCTACGGAAGATTGTTCATACTCACCTGAGGCACAACTTGATTATCCCGACACGAGTCAGTTGAAAGTTATTATCAAAGTCTTAGATATAAATGATAATCCTCCCAGATTTATTAGACGTGTATTCACTGGTGAGTTGAAGTCTTATTACCCATGGATACATTTTTTGATGGGCTGAAATAACTTTTTCTAGGTGGAGTAAGTACAGCGACACCGTACGGAACCAAATTTATGTCTGTTAAAGCGCATGATGCTGATGAAAGTAAAAATTCTGAAATATCCTATTATATTGTTGGAAAAATCCAGATGACACTCACAGAAGGTAAAAGATAATATCCTTTGAAACTTTCTTCACCAGGTGTGTCAAGGACAGCTTGTTTTCAAAAATGCTAGACAGTCCATATCTGTTATAAACTAATTTACCTATACATTTTGCGCAACTGAACCAAAGTTTGATAAATACACACATTATAAATTTCAGGATTGGATCTTCAAATGCGTGAACCATTTACTATAGAGCGTGAAACAGGGGCTGTAAAGTTGAATTTTGATCCTCAGCAGGGAATGAAAGGATACTTTGACTGTATAGTATTAGCGAACGATACAGACGGACTTCAAGATACTGCTCGAGTTTTTATCTACCTTTTAAGAGAAGACCAGAGAGTGAGATTTGTACTAAGACAACATGCTCCTGATTTGAGAAACAGAATTGAAGTATTCAGAGAGTAAGACTGACTTTCTAATTTAGATCTCCAATCATTTCTCTTTAAAGAATTTTAGGCAATGTTACTGGGCATATAGTAAACATAGATGAATTTAGAGTTCATGCTAACAAAGATGGTTCCATTGATAAAACAAAAACTGACTTGTATTTACATTTGGTTAACAAAAAAGATAATTCAATTTTAGAAGTTCCGGATGTTTTAAAGTTGGTTGATCAGAATACTGAGAATCTCAACGAATTGTTTAAAGTAGGCAAAAATACAAAAAATAAACATAAAGTTTCTTATCATGGTTTATTTTTTCAAGCAATTCAATGTTCTGGATACTCAACCTGGCAAAAGCTTAATGCTTCGATCAAAAGACCAAGTATTACCCACTAGTATTGCATGGCTAACTGCTGTATCTATGTTTTTACTTTTGATGGTTCTTTTGATTTTGGCTTTATTCGTTACTCAGCGGCAAGCATACCAAAGAAAATTAAAAGCTGCCACAGCAACAGCATATGGTAAGCAATTTTAACAACACATTTTCTGAGTGCCTATTTAATCAAATAATCTATCTTTCAGTTCGAGCTGAATCCGAAATAGAAGGCAAAAGCTTAAGTATTTTAAGCGGCAGAGTACCCAATACTAATAAACATAGCATGGAAGGCAGCAATCCGATTTGGTTGAAAGCCTACGAAAACGAATGGTATAGAGAACCTGAAGATCACTGTAACAGTTCCGATCGCGATTCCCTAGACGAAAATGTGATCTGCAGCGGGGAATCCTTCGGATCTGCCGAATTTGTGCCAAAAAACAACGAAAAATTCAGCAACGAAATATTGACAACGAACCTACTTGACAGGCAAAATTTGTATCAAACTCTCGCTTCTATACCGGTACTTCCTGTGCCACAACCACGAAAATTGGAAACTACAGAGTTATGATCTTTACACAATAAATTTAAAATGGGAAACAATAAAATAAAACCGTTGGATGATATTATAGCTGTAGACTTGTAGTTTAGTAATTTATAACTGAATACAACATAGAAATTGCACGAAAAAAAAAACAGTTTCTCTTTTTCATATAAAATTGTTTTAATCTATAGTTATTTTACTTCCCATAAGAAGGTATACAATGTATGAATTTTGAATGTGGTTCTGTATAAATGGATTTTACTAATAAAACTGAATTTAAATCTCTGGTTTTGAAGTTTTGTTAAATATCCGATAGTTCCGATACAACTAAACCAAACTCCACACACTAAATTATTCTCAGTTTTAAAGCGGAAACCTATGAAAAAAGGCACTCAGAAAAATTGAAACATTGATAAATCACCCCAAATTGCTTAACACGATTTTATCTCAAAAAATATGCGTCCAAATGAGCTGAAATATTCAGGGATTGTAGTCCTCTACTGGGATAAGAATCGATGAAAATTTCAGCTTTTTATCTATAATCGTATAATAAAAAAAAAGTTATGACCTTTCAAAGTTTTCCAAAATCTAAATTACCCTCTTACTAAAACGATGAAATTTCAAATTTTTTTTGTTGTTGAAATTTTGTGTCCTTGGTCCATCGGAATCCTCCAAACTCCAAACACTAAATTATTCCCAGATTTGGAGCCGGATTCTATGAAAAAAGGCACTCAGAAAATTTCGGAATTTCAAGATAGCCATTTTGTAGAGGGGATCCCAAAGAGTCCCAAAACTGACTTTTTTTCCCTTAATTTTCCGATTTTCCATGACTTTTCCGGATTTTAAATGAAAAAATCAAACTTCAAAATTTTGAGTAGAGGGGATCAAATTAAACAGAAAATGCCTCCTGGTATTTTCTCGTTTGAGGCTTCCTAACCCCGGAAAAAATTCAAGAAGAAAATTCTAAAATTGTATTTTGAATTTCCCAACTTGACATGGCCCCAATAAATAGGCCATAACTCTGGAACATCTGGACCGATTTCAATAAATCATGTTTCATTCGAAAGAGGATTAAATTGGCTACAAAATGACTTAATTCAATATCAATAAGCATTACCATTCCAAAGTTATAGGGCTTCAAATTTGAAATTCACCTTTCAAAGTTCAAAGCAAATTCTTTTATAGCATAGTTTTATAAATATCTCAAAATCTGCTCCTTGAGGTCAATTCAAATAAACACTGAACAAAGAAAAATAATGAGGAAACTTAATGTATTACAAAAAAAATACCTAAATAAAATTATAAATTATCACTGTATACTTTTATAACTATTGTCTATTCACGACCTGTAGTCCAAAGGTACTGGTAAAATTTATCACCTTTCAATGCTATTTTATAGGGAAAGGTGATAAATTTACCTGTACCTTTGGACTACAGATTCTAAATAGGATATACATACATACCTGTATTATAAAAAATTACTTGAAAATGTAAGCTAACAATATGACCACAGCCTATGACATAAAAAAATATGGTATGGACTATTGGCGACAATAATGCTTGTGGCCCATAGGTACTATAATAGGATATCATGTCTTAGTTAATAGGAGTATTAATATAGGAATTTTTGTACACTAGTTTTTTAGTTTCGGTAAAATAGATCGTAAGTCTATAATTCCAGTAACTAAAGGACCTACTTCTTGTTCCATTATGTCAAACTTTTTCTTCATGTCCTCATACCTTATATCATCTTCCATTGCATCTGCAGAATACTGTAAAAATGCATTACATTGATTTTCTATGTTCATTCTTTTCGCATTATCAGTTATTTTGTTGAGGTTGTATTTTATAGTGTTACAGTATTGTCTTGCATGTGTCCAATATTTAATGGATTTTTCGAAAACACTGTCTTCTTCTTTAAAACGAAGAGCCTCCCTTAGAGTACTTCTAATTTTGCTTTGATTTGATCGATGTTCTTGGAGGCTAAACGAAACTGTGACTTCTTTCTCTTTTTCATTCTGACAATATGTTTTCACTGTTAAGATACCATTTTTATCTAGAGTGAAAATGTCGGTAAACTTAATACTTCCAGCTACCCCGAGTGGTATATCATTCAAAGTATAAGTCCCAAGTAACGTATTAAACTTACATTTTTTTCTTTCGCCTTCATAAATATTTGTTGTAATACTTTTTTGATTATTCATAACAGTAACAGTTTTCAACTCTCCTATTGCTGGAAGTGGGGCATTTTTTTCTATCGCTACTTGAAACAATCCTCCATATAATTTTAAACCAATAGAAAGAGGAGCCACTTCAGTAATTTTAAACTTTTCCAACTCTCTTTTGTCACTGCTTGTTAACATGGCCGCTTGGATTGCTGCACCCAGCACTACAGCCAAATTGGGATTTATGTCAGTTTTAATTTTAGACAGTCCAAAATGTAATGCAAGCATTCTGCGTATTTTTGGAATCCTTGTTGTACCACCAACAAGCACTACCTGATCAATATCGGCTGCTGATAATTTTAAATCCATCAGACAAAGCTTAACTAAGTCCATTGCTCTATCAAACAAACCTTGGTTAATATTTTCAAATTTTTCTCTTGACATGCTTAACGGCAGAGAATTTTCTTCTTGATTTGCAAAATAATCCAACTCCACAGAAGCTTCAGATTTTACAGATAACATTATTTTTAATTTGTTACACTTTTTCTTAACTCTCAGCAAATGCAGCGCTTTAACATCATTCGATTCATTCTTCATATGTTGTATTGCTCTAACAAATAATTCATTCTGTATATTGTTGTCGATATCTCTTCCGCCCAAAAAAGTATCACCTTCGATACCCCTCACTTTCAGTTCGCCATTGTCGATATCGATTACTGATATATCCAAAGTGCCTCCTCCAAAATCGAAAACCAGCTGGGTGGACTTTTTATCTAATTTGTCTTTATTGTAATGGATAGCTGCAGCGACTGGTTCGGATATAAGATTGAGCACAGTTAGACCTGAAAATAAGTGTTTTTTTTTTATTATAGCAAAACAAATCACAAGGAAATAAATAATTATTCTACAAAATAATGATAGTTTTTTATTGACATTTGTTGGATCAAGCATTAAGAGTTCTTGCTAATTGCATAAATACTTCTTTTGGCTCTGACAGCTTTTCATTTAAAAAAAAGCCACAGTAATACCTATACACAAGGGGAGAGATCTCAACATTCTATGAAACTATAGGTCAATATCCCTATGACCGACCCTTTCAAAAACTATGTAAAAGTTAATAAAAAAGCGCCTAGAAAAATACCTAAATAAAAAGAATTTGCTTTCATCAGAGCAATTTGGATTTCATCAAAAGACATGTACTAACAATGCAATGTTTGAATTTCTTCAGGGATTATACTTCAGAATGAATGATGATAATGTTGTAGCTTGCAGCAGCGGGGTTCTGTGACCTATCAAAAGTTTTCGATTGTGTGCGTCACAACTAGAAAACGACCTACAGTTCCAAATCCCTGGGTACAATTTCTACTAAAATAATGGACTTTAATTCTTATGACGGACTATTGGTTTACACCAAATCTTGTAATGGCATTGTTATAGATACTGTTAAGCTTATCAACTGTTACTAGTATTAAACTAAGATTTTTAAGTGTATGTGTAACAGCAATGTATAGGTCTCTCTAGGAGACTCAAATACAGATACTTTGTCTAACGATGACCTAAACGTCGATAGTAACCTATCAGTTCTACCTGTGCATTTCTTTGCCTCTATGTATCAGGATATTACACGTCCCGAATCAGGCCTTGACCATGCATTTCACGAAAAAAACTAAAAAATAATTAAGTAAGCTTAAGTCCATATTTTATTAACCATGACCTGACAGACCATTCACCCATTTTAGTGAATATATCTTCAAATAACGTACATGAAAATGCTCTTGATGTCCAGTCACTTGATAAAATAATTGTTAGCAAAATTGATTATAATCTGGTGGAGGACTTGGCTTTAAAATTTGATTGGAATGTCATAGTCAGGGAGAATAACCCTGAGAATGCCGCAAATATTCTGATTACTGAATAAAATAATATAATTACCAAATCGAGAAAGTGGATAGAAGTAACGCATAAAAATGTCTTGTTTAATGCATATACAGGGTAGACCAACAAGCGCGCCTCGATCAATAGTAGCCAAACCGTTGAACCTATGGAAAAATGTTCTCGATAAAAGTTTTAGCAGTTCATCTCTGCTATAACCCAAAATTATTTTCAAGTATACAGGGTGTCTTAAATCTCTTTTGAATAAAATAATGAAAGATTGACATTGATAAATAATTCACCCATAGAAAATGCTAGATGATTTTCAATGACTGAAAAAGTGGGGATGGGTGTCAACTTGCAAGAGAAAAGTAAAGAACTTTCCGCTTTTACTTTCTGTCTGGCAATCGAGATAATGAAAGGTTTTGTTGTGAAAATAAAGCTGAAAAATCGCCAGACGGTAATCACAGTTCGAAATTGAGCAAATCCGCAAAACATTCTGTGGACATTTCGAACAGAGAGCAGGCATTAAAACCACTTACATTCTCATCAGTTAACTAGCCACATTTAGCCCTCAAAATGCCAGACAAAAAAAAAAATTACTCCACTAAACAGTGCCTATCTCATGGTCTATAAAGGGAAGTATTTGTATTCAAATAAAAAACCGACCTCGAGATTTTTTCACATTTATACGTTTCCAGGTCCCTAGATCATGAAAATCATGTTTTCTCAATTCCGTCGGTCTATTGGCGCTCTACAGACCGACAGACAGACTGACATATAGGTCTGTTGGCGCTCCAGCTGAATAATGGCTCAACCTAGAACAACGATTTTTGGTATACACGTTGAACCCCTACCGGCGGCGCTAATGTAAGTGGTTTTGTTCGCAGATATACAGTTAATAATACGAAGTTGGTTACATTAGAAGAAAGGTAGTGTTCTTGGAACTCACTAAAGCTACGCATTCGTTTTTGTCGGTTTTTTTATTCCTTTTCAAGATATAAGACCCTTTGTGTTCAAACATATTTGGTCGTATATTCCCAAAACTACTTATTTCAGAAAAATCGTTCAAGTTTGAACGTTCCCTCGGTTCATCGGTTTTACAAGATTGGGACCTGAAAGTTTGAATCCGACGTTACGCTTCCGGTGTGTCATCATCAAATTTCTATTTTTAAATACTGAGCTAGGATTTTTATTTCGTTTTTCAATTTAAAAAAAATATATAGGTATTTATGCAACAAGTGTGTAAAGTGAACCTTTTTTTACGAATCTGCATTTTGACAACAATCACATGAGTGAAAAAAGGTGCTTTACACATGTATTGCATACATTTTTTCGACTATCAATAAAATTTTCAAAAACACATATAATTTGGGATTACTATTTTTACCCTGTATACTTGTGGCTTATAGCAGAGATGACATGCTGGAACTTTTATACAGAACATTTTTCTATAAGTTCAATGGTTTGGCTACTATTGACCCAGGTGCGCTTGTTGGACTACCTTGGATATTAACTCATTGTTTGGACTTGAAATATCGGCTACTGCAATTTCGTATGCTGATGACTCGGTTCTCCTGTTCAATGCTGAAACTTGACTGCAATGCCGAGAAAAGGTGAATGTATCTCTTCAGAAAATTAAGCTTTTCTTGAATTCGTTCAAACTATCTCTAAATGTAGACAAAAAAATTATATTGCTTTTTCTATTACTGAAGCGAACAGACCTGGTTTCAACACCATAAGGGCATGCAGACCCCATTGAAAGAAGTTAAGGGCCGATAATTTTGCTCTCGATTAACGAATTTGATACGTGGTCAAAGTTTTGCATGGGCCAAGGTCTATAAGTATTGTGTGGTTAGAGCACATTCTAGCCTCTGTTTATTTTTAATGGCTGTCAAATGAGAGCAAAAGTACCTGCACTAAATGTACCAAATATCTAGGCATAGAACACTTAAAATGGGAAGACCATGTATCACATTTATGTAAAAAGACACAAATTTTATCTCTTAAGAAAATTTTTCAATGAAAAAATACTAATAATGGTTTATCAAGCCTTAACTGAACAACTCCTGAGATACGGATTACTAGTTTGGGGTGTTCTTCATAGTGGTACCACAGAATTTATAGTGAAGCCGCGGTTTAGCTATATATTCTGTACAGTTTAGCCGGGAGTTTAGCTATATATTTTGTGGTGGTATGTTACAACCACTCAGTGGTATCCAAAATAGTATTCTTTGAGTGATCTTCAAAAAACCTAGATTGTATCCAACAAAACTGCTATATTCAAGGGAAATATGTAATATTAGAACACTATATGTAATAAGGGTCTGCCTATTTGTTCATAAAAGGAGAAATTTAAATACCAACTATATACAAAACCCATATTATGGAACTAGGAGTCAAACAAATTTTCTGTTAAATGTCCCATGTAGCAGAAGCAACATAAATCAAAGGTATATTGATTATCTGGCGCCAAAATTTTACATTTGTTTGCCATTGGATTTGAGAATTGTAAAATCAAAAAATGCTTTTAGGAACAAAGTGAAAGATCACATATTTCAGAATGACAATGAAACCACAGCATCAGAGATAAGATGAAACGATGAAACCATGCAGACCTACAGGATCCTATGTTAGGTACTTATATGTATATAGTATTGATTACCTATACACCATAATTTACCTAGCCTGTGCATTAGGAGGTCTGAGTCCTTATTCTTGAAACAGGGGAGCAGCGTTCCCGGGAGAACGAGTATTTCGTCTTTCTCAATGATATGAAAATGGTAATATAAGGAACAAAGACGGAAAACTCGTTCTCCCGGGAACGCTGCTCCTCTGTTTCAAGAATAAGGTCTCTGGAGTTGTCCAGTTTGCAGGTGGATTAGATTAGTAGAAACAGCATCTAATCCACGGAGGTCTATAAACCTAGCAGTCCCAAGGTGGAAAAAAACTTCGGGAACTATATAATAATTAGGTGCTTTTTAGGTGCTAATTAGGGCCTATAATTAACAATTAGGTGCTCCTTTAGTTTTTGAGAAAATCAAAAAAAACTAAGGGACTGCTAGGTTTATAAAAGCTAGCAGTCCCCTATAGTAGAACATATTTTTTCTTTGTATCAGAATTAGGTGCTTTTTAAGTGCTCCTAAATAGTCGAAGAAAAAATAGAAAGCTCGATAGAATTGATTAATTATTAACTTAGTTACTGATTTTTTTTTAATTATAAGGGGACTGCTGGCTTTACGTTTACATATGTTGGTGTGTCAGAATGGAAAAAACTTCGGGATCTATATAATAATTAGGTGCTTTTTAGGTGCTAATTAGGGCCTCTAATTAAAAATTAGGTGCTCCTCTAGTTTTTGAGAAAATAAAAAAAAAAACTAAGGGATTGCTAGGTTTATGAAAGCTAGTGGTCCCCTATAGTAAAAAATATTTTTCCAAAATTTTCTTTTGTATCAGAATTAGGTGCTTTTTAGGTGCTCCTAAATAGTCGAAGAAAAAATAAAATTGATTAATTATTAACTGAGTTACAGATTTTTTTTTAATTATAAGGGGACTGCTGCCTTCACGTTTACTTGTTGGTGTGTGAGAATAGCCAAAAGACTTCGGGAACTATATAATAATTAGGTGTTTTTTAGGTGCTAATTAGGGCCTCTAATTGAAAATTAGGTGCTCCTCTAGTTTTCGAGAAAATCAAAAAAAAGTAAGGGATTGCTAGGTTTATGAAAGCTAGTAGTCCCCTATAGTAAAAAATATTTTTCCAAAATTTTCTTTTGTATCAAAATTAGGTGCTTTTTAGGTGCTCCTAAATAGTCGAAGAAAAAATAGAATTGATTAATTATTAACTAAGTTACAGATTTTTTTTTAATTATAAGGGGACTGCTGGCTTTACGTTTACATGTTGGTGTGTCAGAATGGAAAAAAACTTCGGGATCTATATAATAATTAGGTGCTTTTTAGGTGCTAATTAAGGCTTCTAATTAAAAATTAGGTGCTCCTCTAGTTTTTAAGGTTTAAAGTCAGGCCTATAGTTTATTACAGCAACGCGAGATGTCAATGCTGTCGCTCCTATAGTGTGCCCTAACTTGACTGTCAAAAAAAAATAGAAATCTTCATTTGGTTAAATTGTATGATGGAACGTTTTTTCTTTTTTTGGCGGAAATTCGGAGTATTATTTTGTTTTACATAAACAGGGTTGTAGTTTCGACCAACGCAAATAATTCTGAACGTTCATCAGTCCAATTTTTTTCTAAACAGTGTAGCTACGGGCATATTTCCAACTATTTTTGCAGTAGCGAGAAAATTACAAGTTCAAAAAATTTGAAAAAAATATATGTCGCGTAGAATTGCAATAGTAGTTCGTAATAAAAATAATGGGAAACTTCATCTATTCGTTTTGAAATAAATGGTGAAAAACTACTTTTTTTCAGTTTTTGCGATATAACTCAAAAATGGCGAGTCAAATTTGCTTCAAAAAATTATGGATTAAAGTATATCGATAACCATAAAACATATTTTTTTTGGAATTTTTGCACACAAGGTTCAGAAAATAGGGGTTGACTTTAAACCTTAAGAAAATCAAAAAAAAAAACTAAGGGATTGCTAGGTTTATGAAAGCTAGCAGTCCCCTATAGTAAAAAATATTTTTTCAAAATTTTCTTTTGTATCAAAATTAGGTGCTTTTTAGGTGCTCCTAAATAGTCGAAGAAAAAATAGAATTGATTAATTATTAACTGAGTTACAGATTTTTTTTTAATTATAAGGGGACTGCTGGCTTTACGTTTCACATGTTGGTGTGTGAGAATGGCCAAAAGACTTCGGGAACTATATAATAATTAGGTGCTTTTTAGGTGCTAATTAGGGCCTACATTCTGACACACCAACATGTAAACGTAAAGCCAGCAGTCCCCTTATAATTAAAAAAAAAATCTGTAACTCAGTTAATAATTAATCAATTCTATTTTTTTCTTGGACTATTTAGGAGCACCTGAAAAGCACCTAATTCTGATACAAAGAAAAAATTTGAAAAAATATTTTTTACTATAGGGGACTGCTAGCTTTTATAAACTTAGCAGTCCCTTAGTTTTTTTTGATTTTCTCAAAAACTAAAGGAGCACCTAATTTTTTTTATAGACCTAATCCACGGGCTACGTAAATCACCCTGTATATGTATACCTCTATATTTCCATTGGTTCTGCAAGTGAAAAAACAAGGAGCTATATTTTCTTGAACATTTCTCTGACTTAAAAAAAATATGAATTTAAATTCAGAAAGCATAGAAGAAATTAGTAGAAAAAACACAAAAAATACCTGCTAGTTTAGCTGCCTCTTTAGTAGCATTCCTTTGGGCGTTGTTAAAATGGGCCGGAACAGAAATTACAGACTCTTTGACCTCCTCCCCTAGGAATTCACTGGCAGAAGTTTTCAGATTTTTCAAAATTTCAGCTGCAATCTCTTCAGGCAGTTTTGTAATGATTCTGTTGTTTTGTTTAATTTCGATTTCAGCACTGTCCTCTCTACCTCGTACAATTTTGAAGCTGTACTGTCCGCTTTTGATTAGATCTTGAACATAAACATCATCGAATTTTCGGCCTATTAGTCTTTTCACATCTAAAAAAAGGGTAGAAATTCAAAGGTTTGTAGGACAAGAGCAATGACTATAACTAGGTACTACATATAACTGAAAGCTATTTATTAAAAAATGCTACCATTCATTCATAAACCTACCATAAATTAGGTTTGTTCTGGCTTTTATTCCCCATTGATCAGCATACTTGCCTACAGACACTTCGTCATTTGTAGGGTTGAAAAACACTACGGAGGGTATTGAATCATCCCCATATTGGCTGTCTCCGATTACTTCTGGTATTTTTCCACTTTTAATCACAGCCACACTAGAAAACGTTGTGCCCAAATCAATTCCTATGGCATAGGGCATTTTATGTCAAAAAAATAAGTATATCCAATAATTTAATTCTTTTGCCTTTTGCAGTAGTGTAAAAAAAGGAGAAAAACTTTATGATTTATAATAAATTGCAGAATTGCATTTTGCTTGGCTTTGATAAAATGACAAAATACAAATTGTCTCACTCTTCAACTCGTATCAAAATAAATAATAACCTAAGATAATAACAAATATAAACAAACAGTGTTGCCGGCTGCCAATCTGATTTCACTTCTGGAGTGCGTTCGAAATCACCCTGGGCGTCACACCGAGTGCACACCAGCCATGAAAAATTCATGGCTGGTGTCAGGGATGTGCGTCTACACGTAGACTTTCATTGTCTACATTACGTGTAGCGTGTAGATAATGTAGACAATAGCTGAACTCGGCTATTCAGCGCGGAGTTGGAGTGGAGTGAACAGAGCTAATGGAGGCACCCCTAATACCGTAAAAAGCAATACCCGAACCTTAACCCGAACGACTGGAGTGCGAATGGAGTCACTCCGAGTGCACGGAGTGAGCAAGCCGAACTCACCCAATGTAGACAACGTGTAAACAATGTAAAATAATAGAAAGTTCTCGTGTCTCAGACGCTTCGCTAATACGGTAACGCTAACAATACGGTATTTTGCTTGGGTATTTTGCATGGTATTTTATAGTTCTCGTACACGAAGACGCAAAAATCCTCTAATCCCTTATTCTGTTTACATTTGACAGCTGAGTTGAGTGATCTAACCTAACTTTTTTTTGCTTGTTTTCTAACTTTTATTTATTTTGAATATTCCTGACTTTGATTAATTTTCCTTTGGTGTTTTTTATGGAGAAATTATTAGAAGGTGCCGTTCTTGCAGACGTAAATGGAGCGTAAACTAATTTTGACATAGGATAGCGTTACGGTAAGGCATCCGTTAAGTCCCGTTAGGTAGCGGACTCCGCTAACGCTAATACCGTAAGAACTGTCATACTTGTCAAATAGCGTTACGGTATTTGAAATTTGGACGGCACGAGAACTCTCTATATGAATGACGTTTAATTCTAACCTCACACTTTCCTTTTTTTTATTATTTTTATTTTATTATTGGTTTTTCTGATATTTTATAATCAGTGAATGCTAATATCGAAGTAATAGTGATAGTATAGTAACTTTTGATATTTTTTTTCGAATTTTTAAAATTAAGTTATTGTTTACGCGGCATCTAGACAATTAGGCATTCCAGGTTGACGTCATAACCGATCCGCCATTTTAGCTGAGGGGCAAACAAAAGCCAAACATAACTTGATTTAATGTTATTTTCAATGCAAACCGAGAATTTTTGAAGTATTATTTTGTGAAGATGCCTTCGTTTTGTGGCGTTTTTGGGTGCTCCAATAGAGCTGAAAGGGATAAAGTGAGGTTTTTTAGGATTCCAGCAGCATTTAAAGATCGAGGGGATCGCATAAACGAGCTATCAAAAAAACAACGGAGTATGTGAATTAGATGCCTCAATAGGGGTGATTACTGATTTGCCTGTAACGTTGTTAAAAATGCTCGAATTTGTTCGAAACATTTTGTTAATGGTAAGTTTTATGACTGTCTTGTTGTTAAAATACAAAAACACTTCATCTCGGTACATCAAAAAAGTTGTTTATGTTTCTACAAGTAGGTAACTTTTAATACCTTTTAGGTAGTCCAGTAGAGTTTAAGGATACAAACAATCCGGATTGGGTCCCCAGTACAAATTTAGGATATACTACGATAACTGATAGAAGCCCACAATGAACAAGCCAGTAAGCTAAGCTACCTACATGCCAGATCTGTGCACCGATCAGAGCAGTCAAAACGTTTGAGTTTGAGGAGTCATTCTGCCACAAATTTATTTTGCTAAAGTTTATTTGTAAGGTTGTTAGTACCTACATATCAAACTTTTTTATTTTTTAAACAATTTAGATTCTTAAGCAATATTTTTGGTAATAAATTGTTTGTTCACTATTGTTGAATTGAAATGTAAAGTGGCATGTCTGTCTGTATATAAAGATTCATTCATTCATTCCATTCATTCACAAAAACTAAAAACAAACAAACAAAATTTATTGAATAAATCAAAAAACGCAAAAATTCCAAAACACAAACTCAAAAAACATTGTAAACAATGATCTATAGGCTTTGTTTGCCCATCAGCTAATATGGCGGACCTGTCAAAAGTCACGTGACCTGGAATGCCTAAGGCGTTTTCTCGCGGGGCGAATGGTTCGAACTACGGTTTGAACCAATTTGTAGATGACGTCATCATTTATGAACGCGAGAAAATGGAAGGTTTGAACCACAGTCTTATGTCAACGGAGAACAAACCATGAGTCCGGTTCGAACTTTTTTGAACCAGGTTCAATGTGACGTCACTGGTTTAACGCAAGAATGTACAGGTTCGAACCTAATTGAACCGGGTCGAACCAGTTCCACCGCGAGAAAACAGCTCTAATGTGTAGACAAATGCTCACGTAAACAATTCGAATAGGGAACTTGCAAGTGAAGTAAAATTTTCCAAATTTGTTGAAAGAATGTTTTTAACATGTAAAATCCTAATCATTCACTTTCGTCACTAGATATTTTATCACTAGTGACGAAAGTAAAGTTTTCGGCTAAGGTGAAATATGACGAAGTTGTTTATTTTCTAACGGTCATAGAAAAAATGATTTTTGACGAAAGTTGTCTATTTTTCAGTGGCCAGAAAAAAAGTTTTTTGCAGATGCTAGTTTGTTTGTGCAATGAGATTTGGATTTTGTTGGAATTTTTGACATTTTTATACCTACACAACATACAACATTTATTATTAAAACCCAAGAATCGTGAATGAAAAACAGGATTGCTCATCCTGGAGAAGGCGTACGTTCGCCGGTTCTCGAGTCCACAAGGTCTGCGAGTGACGTCACCACGTCAGCTGCTAATATTGGTGACGTCATCCGCAGACCTTGATGAAATTTTTGCGATTCAGGCTCGTTATTTGATTATTGCGTCGATTTTAAATGTAGAAATAGCTATTTATGTAACAAGTTGTAAATTGAGCGTGTTTTTTTGCACTAAATGTGAAGATTGGGTGGAAAAAGCGGGAAAACCGGGACAATTCACGTGAAAAGCGGGACCTGAAATTAATTAAAAAATGGCGGGACCGATTAACAAAATGCGGGACTGTCCCTCCTAAGATGGGACGTCTGGCAACCCTGGTTGTTTGTTGCATGATAACTTTATGACGTCATCTGGGGTGCCTCAACATAATGCAAATCTCCATAAGGCACCCCACATGCGTCATCAAGTTATCCATTACCAGACAACCTATTAACTTTAGAGTTTATGAACCTTGCACTGGTGGGGTTTTAGGTTGTGCTCGTGAAGCAAAAGATGTCGCGAGCGTCCTCTGTCAGATGCCTATTCGATTGTTGAATTTTGAATTGACACTGCACAATTGCTTGATATGCTACACAATTTCAATGTGAAAATCTACACATTCAAAAATTGCGGTCTGTAACAACCCTGGTGTAAATGATGAGCTCATTATATCACTAGTGATTTAATAGGCTCATTACACTCATTTTTATTAGAAAAACAGCAATTTTTTACAATTTATTTATTCGAAATGAAAAATCAAAACCATTTTGAATATATAAAAAATTGCAAAAGTTTGAGTCGTAGATAAAGAGGGTGGTATGAATAAAAACGAAGTACGTGCTACTACTACAAGTATTAGTATGCTCTTCGTAGTATTTACTTCACAAAGAAGCATTTACTAAATTCCGGTAGTTTCGAAATGTAGTATCTACTTCGTTTTGAAGTAAATACTACGTAGAACATACTAAGGTCGAGTTCTCATGAGCGTAAGTTGACATTTCTGGCGTAATCACGTGATAATATGGTGTAATTTGATTGATTATAGGTCTGTTCCCACAGAAGTCTCCGACAGTTTGCAACCTGTCAGAAACAATCGCTCAGCTGAGTTACAGATTGATCTTGGAACGACAGCATTGAAAACATGTATGGGCGATTTTTACTGACAGTTTGCAAACTGTCAGAGACTCCTGTGGGAACAGACCCAAAATCTCCAGCATGGCGAATATTTTACCAATAAAATCCAACCATTTTGTCACGTGATTACGCCAGAAATGTCAACTTACGCTCATGAGAACTCGCCCTAATACTTGTAGTTTGTAGTACAGTGGCTAAATAAACCTTTACATACAGTGGCGACAATAGAGTTCCCGCCGCCATCTTGTTCCCAACCTCTTGTTACTTTCAAATATTAATATATAAGATTTAAATAGACATCTATCATAAAAAATTAAAATCGGCATATTTGATGACCATTATTAGGTTCATCAAATACGTTGTTTTCCATGTTTTATGATGGATGTTCACCTAAATCCTATATATTCATATTTAAAAGTAACAAGAGGTTGGGAACAAGATGGCGGCATTTTCAATATAAACATATGGGATTTTTGAACCAATCAAAAATGAGACCGCAATTGTCGCCACTGTGGTAATAAAGTCACTGTAGTTTGTAGTAGTAGGAAGTACTTCGTTTTTATTCATACCACCCAAAATTTTATTATAATTATTATATAGTTGGTTGGTTTCATGTCTCATTTCAAATACTCATCCTCTTTTACCACTTACCACAAGAATAACAATTATTGTTTGTTATTCTTTATTGTTGTGATTTGGTTTTGGGTTTCACCCTCAGAACCCAGGACGAGGGACCCGGACCGGAACGATATTGAACCGAAAACCGGAACGGAAGTGTTTTTTTTTTTGCGGACCGGAACGGAACGAAACCCATATATCATAAATATGCAAGGCAGGCAGAACCGGAACCGATATAAATTAATCGGTTCTTACCGGTACTTTTCGGTTTCAAGATTTCCTAAAATTAGGCTGTTTGCTGTTTGGCCGTATAGTAATATATTTTATGTCATACCAATACATTATTGTGTTTTTATACCTTAGATACCATCTACATAATTCATTACTTTATGCCCGTGCGGGCATAAAGTACACATTATGGCCCGCGCCACCGGCGTATACAAGGGGGGGGGGGTAATGGGGGTAATTACCCCCCCCCCAAGATCGTTGCGATGGACGAAAAACATATACCCTAAACCTTACAAATAAATCTATTTTTTATATTTTTATATGTTATACACTCTTCCTATTCAGGGATATGTTTGAAAATCACGGCCTGCGGCCGTTAATTATAGTTTAACACCTTTTCGATTTCAATTTTGCTCATGCTATAGGGCCGGTTTCTCAATAGCAAGTCACCTCCGGGTTAAGCATAACTGCAGGGTAAACATTGCAACTGCAACTGGACACGTTTAACTTGTAGCTCAAGTCTTGAAAAATATCGCATTCGAAATTTGACACGAATTTGACTGACAGCAATGTAAATTAAATGGGAAGCGTTCGAAATCATATAAAATTTCGGATGCAATATTTTTCAAGAATTGGGCTCCTGGAGTTAAAACCAACCCGGAGGTGACCGGCCCATAGTAAGTATGAAGAAAAAACTATTTTAGAACAGTCAGACTTCTGCCAGACTGCCAAGTTGCCCAAGTACTGCTGCGACATGACTGCGATCTAAAGGCTGACGCTGGATCCCATTATTGTTTCTCTACAGACTTTTTTTCTAGTTTGCACACAGTGTCCGCACTGCCTGCATGCCATTTATAACGAATTCTATTGAAAGGGATAGTGCGCACTGAGTGTATTCGCGTCTTTTTCTACTAGTTTGCATAAGAAAGAGATAAAAATACATTTTTTGCACTGGTTCTACCTATAGAATCTGCTACAATTTGAAAGTTTTTGGGGAATCCCAGAGTTCGGTTTCGTTATTTGTTGGTAGTGCAGAAAAATTGTTTTGAAGGTTCAAAATAAACGTTTTTGGGCGTGGCACCCGGTAAAAAGTTTTCGTCTCCGGCGGCGCCTGCGGCGAGCTGGCTTGAGCTGATTACCCCCCCCCAGACGCATGGGCTGGATACGCCGGTGGCCCGCGCGGGCATAAAGACGCAAAAAACAGTTTTCAATTAACTTATTCTTTATTAACAAAATATAAATTTACGCTGATAAACATATTATTTTTGTCAAAAAATTATGATGTTTGCACACTGATGACAATTTGCGAAGTGACACTTTTTTCCCAGGTATTTATTATTCACAACCAACTGGTATGACATAAAAGTTTGTATGCACCACGGGTACTAATAGATATATCTACCCTCGGGCGACTTACGAGCCCTCGGACCAGGGATGCGATTTTCGAAACCATTTGAGTACATTTCGTACACGAAATTTGATTGACAGCAATGTAAATTAAATGGGGAGCAGTCAAATTTCGTGTACGAAATGTACTCGAATGGTTTCGAAAATCGCACCCCAGAGGCCCTCGGCTTTGTAAGACTGTCACCCTCAGGGCATAATCATCTACTGAGTACCCTTGATACATAAATAACTATTATTTGCAACCATATATGTAATCTTGACATTACTGACTTTTTAAAAATTTGGAAGTGACACTTTACCTGTGTCACTTCCCTCTTCGATTTCCCTATTTGACTTTCCCTCACCGATTTCCCTCACTCTAATTTATTTACCTTTGCTGGCAACAATGAAAACGTCAGGCTGATGTCAGGTAAAAACGTCAAAACAGTGAATGACACATTTTGGCATGTTTGTTTTATTTTTTTAATATTAAAAAAATTGAATGACTAATCATAACTGATGGTGTGCTTGCAAATAATAGTATATTATATACCTAGGTAGAGAAGTTGGTCATTATATACCGAGCGCTTTTATAAACCGAGGCGCGGAGCGCCGAGGTTTATAATGTGTAAGGTATATAATGACTTTCTCTACCGAGGAATATATAGAATTTTTTTTACTACTACTAGTAGAAAATAAAAAAAATATTCAAAATCTGTACTCTTAATTATTTTTTTGAACGCCCTTTTGAAAGTGCTGCCCTCTAACAACAGCTTATGATAACTTCCTATATGTAGCTACAGAAACCTGTATTTTTTTTTGAATTGACATATGAAATTGAAATTGGACCAATAGAAACATGACAATATCCTTGCATCATGACGTCATTTTCATTATTGACCTAGGTATTTTTTCATTATTTTCATTATTAACCTAGGGAGAGAAATTCAATTTTTTCCTAAAAAAATAGATTGAATAATGACTATTTCTCAGGTTAGTAGTAAAAAATAGTACATTATATACCTAGGTAGAGAAGTTGGTCATTATATACCGAGCGCTTTTATAAAGCGAGACGCGTAGCGCCGAGGTTTATAATGCGTAAGGTATATAATGACTTTCTCTACCGTGGAATATATAGAATTTTGTTTACTACTGCTATAGTAGAAAATAAAAAATAAGTTTAAAATCTGAGCTCAAATTATTTTTTCTAGTTGAAAGTGCTGCTCCCTATCAACATCTATGGTAATTTCCTATGATACATACAGGAACCTGTTTTTTTGATTAAATTGACAGTTTGAAATTTAAATTAAATCAATAGAAACCTGTAACGTTATGACAATATCCTTGCGTCATGACGTCATTTTCATTATTGACCTAGGTTTTTTTTCATTATTTTCATTATTAACCTAGGGAGAGAAATTCAATTTTTTCCGAGAAAAATAGATTGAATAATGACTACTTCTCAGGTTAGTAGTAAAAAAAATAGTATACAAACCTCGGAGGAAAGTTTTCATTTCTGTCTCGAGATTAATAGTCAATCTCGTCGCTTCGCGCCTCGATTGACTACATAAATCTCTCGACAGTAATGAAACACTTCCCTACTCGGTATGTAATATACTATAAATCTCAACACAGAGCATGGAAAGCGCGCATTTCTGCACTCGGCTAGTCTGCACACCAAGGATATTACACACTACTACAGGATGGGATTGCTAATCGGCCTCGATTTGTGAAAAGTTCATGTGGTGTTGCACCGTTGCCGACGTCATTAACGGTATCGTTAGCGGTTTCCGCCAGCGGTCGTAGTTAAGAATATTAGCATACATTTATGATGAAGAATATATTTAATTTTGATTAACACAATAGGCAAAGAGGAAGATGCAAACGAGATCTAAACAAGGCTTGTTCTAGAATGAGGTAATGCTAATCCATTGACCTGTCAAACAAAATTCAATATGGCCGATCTGGTCAAGCACCGTGTTGTTTACATTTAGGTTCAAGTTCTTGCATTTGGAAATGTTCAATTAAAGCCGCGCCTGTCTTGGTAATTTTTTGGTTATACTCCCTTGAAATAATTGAGCAAAATTGAAAGAAACAACTGCATCGATTTCAAAAAATTATTTATTTTTAGCTCTTTGGCTTTTATTTGAAAATAAAACAAAAAAATAATAAAATATTGTACAAACTTTTCCATTAAACTTAACAGTATAAAATTAAATTATTATTGCAATAAAAATATTTTAAAAACTTTGCTTTGAAATAAATAATAATAATTTATAACATTTTGATACAATTCCAAAGTAGGTTTTTTCCTAACACTAATAGATCAAATGAAGTGCATACAAAAATAATAATATCATATTTCAAGCTAGTCTTTATATTGCTTCATTTGACTGTATCAATAACCTCAAGTGAAAGCAAAGTAAAATAATTTGCCAAAATTTTTGAATCCTATAATAATCAATAGAAGTACTTACATAGAATGTTTCAAGAGTAACGATAGAACATGGAACCATGTAGGGTTGTTGAATTTTATTAAATGCTCATCCATGTTCTACTATTAATCCCTAGACACCTTTAATTAATTTTTTTCTATTTTAATTTATGTTTATTCAAAGGATTACCTATATTTATGTTTTACAAAATAACCACTTATTAATGTTTTAACTCTATTCAGGCAAAAATTTAGAATGTAATTTGATTTTTAGTAGTGCCATTTTTAATTTTAATACTTTTTGACTACAGCTACATGAAGTTACTATAATTTATATTATCTATGGCCAAGAAAAATTTAATGGAGCAGATTATGAAAACTTGTCGTCTGCAAACTATACATGGACAAAATTACACCATCCACTTTATCAAAATATCCTGACGGAAAGTATTGTCTATTTTATAAATCTTTTATAAAATAAAATAACAAAGAAATATTTGAAAAAAAAACTGAAAATGTGAATAAAATTTAAAAACTCGAAGAACTCGATGTTAAAATATGTATTTTTGTATTCAATATTTTTGTACTTAACATCAGAGTAGATAGAAAAAATGATTTATTATAAATATACGATACTTTTTCTAAGATAATATAACTGATGCTTTTCTAGTTTCTTTAACTTACTAGCTTATTGGGTACTAAATATTTTTTGACTATACAACAACTTTATTATTTTAACATTTAAACATATTTTACATTGACTATTTTTTTATTAAGTTTGATGATTGACATAATTTTTTGATAAAAATATTTAAAATAATGTCCATTTATTTTCAACATAAGTAAACTAAAAATACAGGAAAATGAAAATTCAAGGTTGAAATAAAAACCTTAAATTTATAAAATTCCATATATTATGTACCTTTATTGAAACATTGTATTTTTCTATCTTAGGTATTAAATTAAAAATTAGAATTTTATTAATTGTAAAATAATAGGTATGTTGTTTATAAAATAGTTTTCAATCACATGAAGAGCAGGAAAAGTTTAAAATTATCACAATTTTTTGATCCTATAATAGTAAAATAGTATAAGGCCTATTGACAAAAAATTCAATCAAGAAATAATAATATATTTCACTTTTTTATAGAATGCTCTTTGACTTATCCGTAATCTACAGTTTGTAACTAGAAAATACTGGTTCTACTTTTGAGCAACTTACACCTTAATATAAGTATTTTAATTTAAGTCATATCATATCTTTATATAGGTAGAGTGAACTACTGACTTTACTTTTTTGCTAGGTAAAAAGCTGTTAACGCAATTTTTAAAATTAGAGCATAGGTAGGTATTTCACAATAGATATTTAAAAAATGACTCAAGCAAAAATTTCCAGAAAAGCCTATATTCCCGATATTTTATATTTTTAAAATATCATACTTAATGAAATATTCGGATTATGCAGGGGTTCAGGAACAGGGTCGTTTTTAAATTATTTTGAAAAAAAAAAAGGTTGTGTGTTTTCTTTTTTACATCTGAACGTCCCAAATATATGCGAAAAAGTAGCGCTTGATGCCTGTAACTTTCAAATTTCCTTTACTGGAAGTTGTTCACCAAATTACCTGCCATGTCCCTATCGACATCACAAAATTTTCTCATTCGGTTATTGTTACTGTGACAAATTTTATTTTCTCATATGATAATTTTTCTTTAAATTTTTTCATATGAGTAGGTACCTAATTAAAATGTTTCATGCACTATGCGCTACTTTTTACCACTCTGTAGTTGTTTATTTTTGTTACTAATGTCTAGGATGACTTAAGCAAGAGAAAAAGTTAATTTATATTATGTTACCACAAAATATTAATTCAAAGAGATTCTATAATTTGTTCAAAAAACCTTTCATAGATATTTTAGAATAATGTCATATCATTGGCTAAAAACGCTATTAAGGTCTGCTCAATGAAAATTTGATATTTTAATTGTTTATTGATGAGGAAAAATGTTGGCTAAGCATTAGATTTAGGAAGGATATATAAACATCTTCAACTTTCGAATGACTTTTTGACTTATCAAATTTTCTCTGTGAGCAACTATTTACCTCTGTTTGCGCTACAGTCTAATTTATTTCAATTCTCTGCATTGCTTCTTGGACAGTCTTCGTTAGATTTAATCCTTTTTACAAATATACACACTGGACCTCGAACTATTCGTAGGAAATCGATAATTTCGCTAGTACTCAAATGTTCTACATCCTCATCATTAACCTGAAAAAAAAAAATTTGTTTCAATCCATCCTAGGTACTTTATAAGTGGATACAGTTATGACAAACAACAAATTTGAAAAAGTACACAAATGTCTGATATAATCCAAGGTTTGATAACCAGTACAATAAATAAAATAAAACATTTAAAAAAAAAATAGTAACATTTAAAGAGAGTGTTCTTATTACCAGATTTGCTGTAATCGGACTGCGTATAGACTTAAAAAAAAAAAAATGTGCCATATTTGGTGAGATATTTTACCTTAATAATACGATCTCCGGGTTTTATTCTACCATCCTTTGCGGCTACGGAATCAGGATAAACAGCGCTTACATAGGTGACGCCAGCGGCCCCTTGTAGGCTAAATCCCAGTCTACTGTTCCAACCCCTATTCAGTTCTATTGCAAGAACCTGAAATGGAATGAAAATATATTACCGAATGGCATATAAGTACTTACATATACATTACGTGTGATAAGCAAAAAACCCGTTATAGGTATACATACATATTCATACTATAAAGTCTTTGTAAAAACTATGCTAAATGTAATAAGTTAATCGTGGTATCTAAAGCTATATACCTATGCCTACATTTAGTTTCAATGAAAATAGAAACTCCCTCTGAATCCGTATCTATGCTGTGCAATCAATTATTAATGATTACTTATGCTGATCAATTACCTACTGCTCGTACCTATATGCAATTTCGAAGAATTTGTGGTATATTTTGACTCAAAACGTTTATTTTGTAACCACTAAACTTTTTGAATCTCGAGTCAAAAAACGAAAACTTCAAATTAACCAACCAAACATAAGAGATTTTCAAGTAACCTACCTCAATCTCTTCTTTCATAGGGATCATTTCCTTTTTCTCAGTCTTGATATTTTCGGTTTTTGCAAGGCTCCGGTTAGGATCCTTCTTCAATATTCCTTTTTTTCTTTTAATTGTATCAGTCTCTTCATCATGGTTAGTGGTGGGTCGGGTATCTTTGGAAGCGCTCGAACTACTTTTTTTGTCGCTATCTATGCAGGGAGGGTGTGCTGATTGGTATGTTGGCTTTTTATGACTAGAAAATAGGGAAAAATAATTGCAATAACTCGGTACTAAGTAGCAACAGAGTAGAAATAATTGTTACATAAAATTAAGTCACCAAAATCAACAAGACCTTGGCCAGTATGATTAAAAAGAGTATTTGCATGTACTTCAAGCAAAGATAATCCTACTATGACATTTTCGAACAAATTTATTGAAAGGAATTCTTAACAATGCAATAGTGAGTTACACCTCCACGTAAGTTTTGACATTCTGTAACTCTTCGTAGGATGCTCCAAATCAGATAATCGATATCTGTCTGTGGTAGGTTCTCCCAGGCTAATCTCACCTTATGACGTAGATGTACATCCAGTTGAAGATGTGGCAACTGCCTCAGCCTTCTACCTCTCTACCTTCTACCTATCAAAGTTCCAACATGCAAAATTGAAGTTGGTGCCTTTCTCCAGGTCTGTGGCGGACTCTTCTAGTTGCCCTACCTTCAGCAACTGCAAGATCTAATTTTTCAACAAGACAATGCGAGACCACATAGCCCACAAGGTCACCAGACTTATCGCATATTGTACATGTCTGGGATATGATAGGTAGAAGGCTGAGGCAGTTGCCACATCTTCTATGTTACACAGTATGCAGGGTGGCCTAGGGAAAACAATCCACCCCGAAAATCTTTGAAAATAAATTTTCTAGCTGAAACGGCCGGACACGTCAAAAATATTGAGGGGGCATATGTTATGACATATAGGTAAAACCTGCGTTTCTCTCCCTTCATCCCCTTAACCTCCAGAGCCAACCCATGCATTTTTCAAATGGGAAGAGGGGTTAAGTTTTAATCTCTACATGACCCAGTTTTTGTATTTCATTTCTATTAAGAAATATGGATGAACGAGTCTAAATATCAATTTTATTTAAACAAAAAACAAATGGTTTACAATTATTTTATTAGATGTTGAAAATGTTTCTCGATTGATATCCATACAGAAACACAATAATTGGTTTTTAGAAATCCCCATAAGAAAAAATCTAAAGTCGTAAGATCGGGAGGTCTAGCAGGCCATCATACGGTATCTCACCAGCCAATCCATCGTCTAGGAAATTCTTCATTCAAAAACTGACCAATGGGAGCAGTGTAATGTGGAGGTACCCGATCTCGCTAAAACATCAACTCATTTTCTAGAAGGTTATCAAATTGTTCAAGTAATTCAGTTTGTTGCAAGCCTGCTAGATCGCCCGATCTTACGCCTTTAGATTTTTTCTTATGGAGACATCTAAAAGCAAATTGTTTTTCTGTAAGGAGGTCCATGGAGAACATTTTCAACATTTAATAGAACAATTGTAAACTTTAAGCGCAGTTAAAAAAAATACATGGAGGGATGAAGGGAGAGAAACGCAGGTATATGTCATAACATGCTCCCTCAATATTAAATTTGATGTGTCCGGCCGTTTTCAGCTAGAACATTTATTTTCAAAGATTTTTAAGGTGGAGTGTTTTCCCTGAGAGTATATTATTACCTCTTAGCAATTTGTGGTCCTTAAAACAACTAAGTATATGTTGTATAGTTTGTCGATTTTAATCTGATACTTCAAAGGAATGTGGAGCTGGTGGCACCCTACATTAAAACGTCATTCGTTACCTGACGTTACACCTGGTATTTGCCATATTAAACACTCCCTCGCTCCTCGTACGGAAAAAGTCAGATTAAAAACGACAGACTTTACAGGGTATTTGATTATATTTGGACCCATTTCTACAGCTTTTACTATTTAAGATATAAAAAAAAAAAATAAATACAAAACTTGACAGTTTTGTTCTATATTTTCTTTTAACGGTATAGAAAAATAAGATCGCACCGGAAAATGGAGAAACGTACGCAACTTCGACTTTTTTTAATGGAACACCCTGTATATTATGAGATAAAATGAAAGATCTTTTCTTCCTGATTCCAAATATACACGCCTGGCAAGTAAACATCTTGCATGCCAATTTTAGTGTGATAGAAAGAAATCTCTTGTATATAGGTACCTATATTGATCACATTACATTTAAAAAGGGACATCCATCCCAGGTAACTATATCAAGTAAAACAATGAAACTCTTACCTAAACGTTCCGGAAGATTTGTCTAAAGGAATATGAGGCATGCTAGATGGTTCTGTGGGGTAGTTACCTCTAACCTCAGATTCTGTAGTTACGCTTTCCTCATTTCCTAAAAATAAAAGTTTAAAATCTTGAATTATTTATTTTGCATGAAAGAGTATTTTACTATGAAAATAAATATACACCATGTGCCACGACATATTGATTATTATCAAAATCCATTAGTCAAATTACTGGTTCCAAAGTTATGGACTGGGTAAAACGACGTGGGACACCCTGTATATTTCTGTTTCATAACTATTATCTATGTCCAAAGCAGATGCACTTACCTATGTTATAAGTGAGATTAGGAGCATCTAAAACTTCAGGATCCAAATTGTTCAATTCATAAGCATTATGAGCCAGTGAAAAATTGAATCGTGGCTTTCTGGCCGCTACTGGAGTTTGATTCGGATTATAGAGATCCAAAGAATTTGGCCTGTAAGAAAAAGGAAAGTTCATCGAACTGGGGCAAAATTGCTTGAAAAATTCAAAATTAATTTAAAAAAATGCTCTAAAAGCATCTTAAAAAGAGGAAAATAATCATAAAAATGAGTTTCTTGTGAAATCCTTGTGCAATTTGCTGTCAACTGACACTGAATCATTACTTTAGAATTCTGCTTTCCAGTTGCATAAAAATATGACTTTTCTCACACTGGCATTTCTAGCTTTTCAAATTGAAAATTTAAGAAAACTGAATGAGTAGAGTAATAGAGCATTACTTTAAATTTGGCATCTCAAATTATCAGGTTCTGGGTGGAATGAAGTATCAGCTTTGCGGTTGCAAGTCTGGAGATCAAAAAGGTTTTCGAGCCATCGGACCAGAATTCTTGGTACTCGTCCCAAAAGTAGAACCAAAATCAAAATATGTTTTCTATTGTTACAAAATTACTATGCACATGATAAAAGAAACGTTTCAAGATTTTACTATTACCTTTTTAGTATTGACGCGATTGAGTCATTAAATTTGATTTCAGTAAAAAGAAGTGTTTTAATAGTGCCAGTTTCGCCGTCATTTTTATGTTATTATCTGAAGTATAGCTAAATTAATTTTGGAAGAGTAGTCTCACTTATCTGAGCATCCTGCTTAAATAACTATACAGGGTATCCGGACTGTCAGGAATAACTGGGGATTTTGGAAACCATTGAAGAATCAAGTGCCTACAAATTCTGTCATCCAAATTCTTTGAACTCGGAATAGCATAAGGGATATACAGGGCAAAAAAGAAAAAGTGCGTTTTATAAAATCCTTGTATTCTACATTACATGTAAATTACATCCAGTCCTATACCTACCTTAAAATTTCTTGATTGTATCTTTTATGATAAACAATACATAGGGGATTTTATAAAACACACTTTTTTATTTTTTTCCCTGTATATTCGTTGCTACTCTGCGTTCAAAGAAATTGATGACAGATTATTTGTAGGCACTTGATTGCGCACTTTTCTCCCTATTCGGTCCACTCTTCAATGTTTTCCAAAATCCCCATGTACTTCAAGTTATTCCGGACACCCTGTATAAAATTAAAATATCAAATTATACTTTTCAAATATTGATGAACACAGTTGTAGTAAATTATCAGTTGATATCTCAGGTTTATAAGACCATAGTTAAGCTAATAAACAGCAGCATTAACATCACATTTATATTAACATAGAATAAATTGAACATCAAAAGATACATACTCGTACCTTGACAGTCTATCCATATCATCACCCTCAATTGTAAATAAAGAACTAAACGCCTCTTCATCGAAATGTTTGCATTTCAACATGCCCTCGTGAAATTGTTCTTCAGGAATCAGATACTTGGTGCCAACAAAGTCTTCGCACCCAACATTGCTACCTCCAGGATTATTTTGCCGCCTCAATTTTCTGGGAGACAAAGTAGGAGACATTGAGCTTCCTTCAGCACCAGCCGATTGGATATTAGGAATCAGCTTGCGGGCAGCAATATCATTAAGCATATCGACCGCTTCTTGTCTGAAATAGTCAAAATTGCAGAGATAAACTTGCGTTATATGTTTATTTATTACCTGAGGTTTGCTTTTCTAGGAGCCGTTTCTGTAGGGCTCATTGGGGAGTTTTGTGGTAAATCACGATACAACCTGAGTTTAACTTTATCTCCGCATTGCCTTAAGTATTGAACGGCTTGCTCGTGTGTCATTGGAAATATCTCCATGTCGTTGACCTGAAATTAAAACAAATTGTAAGTTTTTTTGGATAACTGCACAATGTTCTTACTTACTGCAATAATTTTGTCTCCAGGCTTGATTCGGCCATCAGTAAGTGCTGGTTCACGTACTAAAGCTCTAACATAGTGGCCAAGAGGACTATCGTCCTCCTTTCGCAGAGTGAATCCCAAAGATCCTTGTATTTTGGTTAAGGTTATTTCATATTCCTAAATTTTTTCATTTGAATATTTGTTAGGTAGCGAATATCATTCAAAATACTTACACCATGATAATATTCATCTTCAGGTGTAGTGCCAAAATAGCCTGATGTAAAATGTAAACTATTTGGAGGTTCCCGCCGTGTCGGCGGTGGAGGAGGAACGTCGGAAACGGGGCTCACACAATTAAGTACGTCTGGTGGAGGTCGACATACTTTAAGTTCAACTTGATTGGTAGCGGTTCTAAGTACTTCAAGGGCTTCCTAAATTGTATCAATTCAAAATAAGATGGATTGTTTAAAATTGGGTACTTTGAACATTCTTACATAATTTGTTAAGCCTGTTAATGGTACTCCGTTAGCTTCTAAAAGCAAATCTCCAACATTTAAGAGACCGCATGCTGATGCTGGTTGGTGAGGGAACAGTCGTTTTATCCTTACCAATCCCGGCCATGATCCTTCACTTTCAAAGCCACCTGTTACACTCAAACCCAAACCTCTGGAGCCTTTATTGAGTTTCACTGTGAAGGTACTGTCTGTGTAACAAATATAGTTATTAGTAATCATACTTATGAGCAATTAAGGTAAAAACTACCGGGTGTAATAAACGGATAACACGAATGTGCCTCCAGATGATGGTGGCACTGATCCAGATCGTGTTCGGGTAAAGGCGGAGGATATTCCTCCTCTGGTGATCTTTCAGAGCCGTACCCTTGATCTTGGGCAGTTTGGACGTCGGAGAATTTCCAGTGAAGTGGAGCACCGTCGCCTAATGGGGAAATTCTTCCTCCCTGTACAATAATAATAATTAGACACTTCAAAGCTATGTATTTCTGGTTTTACCTCTTGAGGTTGTTTTTCATCATCATCTTCATCATAGTTATTTGTACTGGTGGATTCACCATCATCCAAATAACTCGGGAGACTTCCTCCTCCACTTTTACTACTGCCACTACCATTATGTTTTCCTTTGCCGTTGCAAATGCTACCGCTGGATTGGGATCTTCTTCCTAAACATATCATAATTAGAAATTATTTATGAGTGCAACTTTTAAATATTATTACCTGAAAGTCCTTTTGTTGAGTGCCTACTAACGTTAGCTCCCATCCCGCCAATTACATGACAGTTTCCATTTTCGTCTCTCTCTTGGGGTTTACTATTTGATATCGTTTCCGTCAACAGCAAATCAGATTTTGCATTTCTTTCAAATCTTGGGTGGAGGAGTTTTGATTCTTCATTGAATTTGGGGAGTGACCTTTGACGGACGAGGTGCAATAAGTTGTAATCGTCCTTGTTGGAAAGTTTCTTGTTACAGATGAAGGGGCCTGAAGCAATAATGACTTGTTAATCTAACTTTTATACCAAGGGTTTGAAAAACATTAAAACTGTGGACTTTTGTTAGTGAATAAAGTAAGTTTATTATCATGTTATCAATGTGTAAAGTGTAACATTCTTTGTAAGAGTAATAAATAGAAAATTCTTTAACATATTTCATTTTTAAAAGAGTATACATGGTTTTAATTTATTTTATCCAAATTACCAGAAACCTAAACGCTTACCAAATTGCATGTCCAACATCCTATGTTTTATGATGATTTCATATTGTTACTCGCATTATTTTAAAATTATGTCACTTTCCTACAATACAATCAGTAGGTACCTATTTGAGTTGTTTTATAGAAAGGTTCTTCTCTACAATTTTTATACTTTTATGGATTTGTTTTTCAATGTTAACTTAACTAGCCTTAGATTTTGAACTCATTTTGCTGAAATAAAATTGCTAAAACTTATTTGCAATGTCTTAGTGTGTCCCGCGTATAAGGACTAACCACCGTTCTAAAGGCTTCGGCAAGTTAGCCCTCCACATTTTAATTTGCTAACAAAATTGCAACCACTTACTGTTCTCGAAGTGTGCTTTACTGTGCCGATGATATTTTAAACTGTGCCGTTTCGATACCAAAGTTATAGGAAAAACACGATGAGGGGCTAGCTTGACGCTCAGTCCCCCAAAAATTTTGGAAATAAGATCAAACAAAAATGGATTCTTATGCAATCTGAAGTCTGCTGAACTGTGCTGTATCAGGTTTTTCTCAAAGTTTCCATATTCAGTCATTTTCAGGCGAAATCCTACTGGGTCCTTATTCTTGAAACATAGGAGCGCCGTTCCCAGGAGAACGAGTGTTTCCTCTTTCTCAATGATATGCCACTGATAATATAAGTAAAGCTGGATTTATGCAGCAAATAAAATAAAATAAGATAGGTAACATAAGATAAAATAACAAATAGGTACATATAGAGCTTATGCATTTCTTATTTTATTTGTTATTTTCTGTATAAACACTTTAAGGGTATCTCATGAGGTTAACTGTTATTTCTTATTTCATCTTATTTTATTTAATTTGCTGTATAAATCCAGCTTAACAGAGATGGAACACTCGTTCTCCTGGGAACCCTGCTCCCCTGTTGCAGCAATAGGTACACGGAGGGGCTAACTTGACGCTCAGCCCCCCCAAAATTTTGGAAGTCAGATCAAACAAAAATTAATTCCTATTCAATCTGAAGTGTGCTGTATCAGGTTTTTCTCAAACTTTCCATATTCGGTCATTTTTTGACAAAATCCTACTGGGGGGCTAACTTGACGCTCAGCCCCCCAAAATTTTGAAAATTGAATATTTTTTTTTTGTCTTATATATACTCGAATTTGGCACTTATTAGGCATATAATTTTATTTCTGTAGCTGTACTATGGTGTACAGGCTGTCCACATTTATGGGCGCAAATTTCAATGACCAATGAGTAAGTACTATTAGAGATTTTTTTAGGAAAAATCTGATAGCAAATTCTTATTTAGAATAGTCTAAAACCCAAATGTACTAATTTTTATTTCAATTATACAGGGTGATCACAACAAAATATTTTCAAAATTTAATGGATCAATGCAGTGTTTTTTATTTTGGAAGTCAGCAATGCCTTCTTCATTACAGTATTTGGATTGGGTAAGAACTATTTCTACTATTTGTCCATAGTTATTGGTACTAATTTGAAATAATTCTAGAGACCATCATCAAGAAGATCGGCTCGAGGTACCACTACTTTACGGTACTGTGGAACATCTTTGACTTCCTTCTGGTGTTGACTTCAATTTTGGGTATTTTAATGAAAGACATCATGATTGATTTTCTGATTCCGCACACTTTGCTCAGAGTTGTGAGAGTCTTTAGGATTTGATTTTGGTTTGATTAAAGTAAGAAATTTAAGCTTTAATTCGAATCTAATCATGTTAGAATCAGATTGAAATTAATAAAAAAACGGTTAATTTTTGGTTACACGGTTAGAAATAATTGCCCAGATCTTGGTCGGATATTTGAGCAAATTAAAACAAGTTATACTTCATTGGAAAGAGCAATAAATTCTCTATGAATCCGTGCAAAATAAAGCTTGATAGCTCGAATAATGAACAGTAGCCCATATCTTTGTTAAATTTCAAGCAAATTGAAATAAATTATATACCATTGGGAAGAGCATTCAATTATCTATAAATCTGTGTAAAATTGAGTTGGAAGGCTCTATAGTTTTTGAATAATTGAGCGTCAAGCGAGGCTTCAAGTTTGATTTTCAGCCCAAATTTTGTCAAAAACTTCAAACTCAATTTCCTCAAAAACTATAAACCTAGGAATATTGTAAATTACAGGCCATTGAGAGATTGATGAGAGCTACAAATGCAGAAAATTTCAATGCAATTTGCTCAACGGTTACCGAGCAATTGAGGTTTGAAGATTTTGGAATTAAAATTCAAAGGGGGTATCCCTTATAAAAAACTCGATTTTTTTTTTCAGTTTTGCTCAATTTTGACTTAACCCACCGATAAAGCGGGTCAAAATCAGTGAAGAACAATCCTGACATAATTTCCAAATGGCCATTTCAGAAACAAAAATAAAAAGAAAATTTTCAAAATCTTGACATGGTCATGAACAGTTGCCCATATCTTTGGTAAATTTTACGCAAATTGAAATACATTATGCAACATTGGAAAGAGCATTAAATTCTCTATAAATCTTCGCAAAATTGAGTTTGATAGCTCAAATGGTTTTTGAGCAATTGAGCCTCAAATTTGACTTTTAATCCAAATTTGATCAAAAACTTCAAACTCAATTTGCTCAAAAACTATAAATCTGGGAATATTCGAAATTACAGGCCATTTAAAGCTTAATAAGAGTTACCAATGCTAAAAATTTCAATGCCAGTTGCTCAATGGTTACTGAGCAATTGAGGTTTGAATATTTTGAAATCAGAATTCAAAGGGGATATACCTACCCTTATGAAAAACTTGATTTTCTATTTTTTGGTTTTGCTGAATTTTGACTTTATTAATCGATAGAGCGGGTCAAAATTAGTGGAAAACAACCCTGACATCAATTCCAAATGACCATTTAAAGCAGAAACAAAAATAAAAAGGAAATTCTTTTTTTTGGCTCTAGAAAATTTCCAAAATCTTGACCTGGTCATGAACAATTGCCCATATCTTTGTTAAATTTCATAAATTATATACCATTGGAAAGAGCAATAGATTCTCTATAAATCTGTGTAAAATTGAGTTTTGATAGCTCAAATAGTTTTTAGCAATTGAGCCTCAAACTTAACCTTTAAGTCCAAATTTTGTCAAAAAATTCAAAGTCAATTTGCTCAAAAACTATAAATCTGGGAATATTCTAAATTACAGGCCATATAGAGCTTAATTAATAAAAGCTAAAAATTTCGATGCAAGTTGCTCAACGGTTACCATCTACTGAGCAATTGAAATTTGGAAATTTATGAAATCAGAATTCAAAGGGGGTACTTTATGAGAAACTTGATTTTTTATTTTTTAGTTTTGCTGAATTTTGACTTTATTAATCGATAGAGGTATCAAGTTTTGTTGTTCTCAATGCATCAAAATATGTATGACATTTTAGCTGTCTGATCCATTAAATTTTGAAAATAATCTGTTAGAATCACCCTGTATAGTATTGAAACAAAAATTAGTATATTTGGGTTTTAGACCATTCTAAACAAGAATTTTCTATCAGATTTTGTCTAAAAAAATCCCTAATAGTACTTAATGAAATTTGATGTGGACACCCTGTCCATTGAAAAATAAAAATTTCATAAGGGTGGTCAGTCCTTAGGCGAGACACACTGTATATAGTTGAATCATATCAAATGTATGTATGTATTCAGTAATAGGCTGGCAGCTGGTTGGTGATTGCTCTGCAATAAGGGGTCTATTATGATTGATTTTATGCTCTGTACCTATTATACTGAGTATTTTTAGTATTATATTGATGAATTATTAATTTTCAATGTCAAATTCATGGATTTTTGGAATTTTCCTAATTTTTTTATTTAGAGAAGAAAAACATAAAGAATAAACACAAATTGAAACAGAAAAAATAAGAATGAAAGAAAAAATTAAATTTCAGAGGGATGTTTTGTTTTTTCTTTGAGGAAAATGTTGGAGGGATTTGATTAAAAATTGAAACTTCCCAGATGGAAAAAGAAAAGATTGAAATATGGGAAACAAATGAAAAATTCCTCCTCATATAATGATAAAAATCAAAAAACTTTGAAGATGTTTGACAGCTGCAATCCGTGTTAAATTTTTGAAATAAAACTATATAGGTATATTAACTAGATTTTGAGAGGATTTAATTGGCTTTAATTTGAAAGCAAAATGTGTAACAAAGTCATGTCGAGAACAAAATAAAATTTCCAAAAAATGACATAAGGGATATTTTTTTTGAGGAAAGCGTTCCAAGGAAAAATCAAAGACAAATACTTTTAACCTTGGTAGCTGCGAAACCGTTAAAAGAATGAATAAATGAAATGAAGGGCATTGAATTATTCAATTACATATTAAAGATTTGTAGAGAATTCAATTAGCCTTAATTTGTATTCACATTATAGGTACTCGAGGCATATACCTACATTACCTACCCATGAAAAAAATTATGTTTGTGATACTACACGCTCCCAGGTTTCACTTGGGATGCTATGTTAAAGTATACTGGACGGGAAATTGAGCTGATTACCGATCAAGATATGTTTCTCTTCGTGGAGCGGGGTATTCGAGGCGGTTTGAGCCAAGTATGTTCCAAAAGGGGTTTTTTTTCTATACAAAATAACATTTTGTATACAGAGGGTACCTATAGGTAGGAAGCATTTAAAACTATAATTTCTGATGGTATATTCAATATTTATCTACAACATAAAGCCGAAATGTTTTCTTGAGTTTGAAAAAAATTCTCTTGAGTTTTTTTTTTGCCAAACCATGTTTTCTTTGTATTTATAAAGAAGGCCAGTTATTTTAATAAAATTGAATACTATTTGTTCATTTATAATAATTTTACCGACACATTACAATAATATAGGTATCTTTAGCAATTTCAGTAAAATTGGTTCAAAACCGGCCAAACAAACATAAACATTGCAAATCCATAAAATTCCTCCATCGAAGCTATGAAGAATTTCAATGCTACAAAATTTATACTGTTCACAAAACACAATTTTCTACACAAGAGAATTCTTCAATGTTCAGTATAA